ACAGCAAGATGAACACCGGATTCATAGGAGTGGTTAGGCCAGGCTGTATTGAACCTTTGTAGTGCTGTTTGTCCAGTTGTCCAGTTCTTCTTTAGCTTCAGTATTAAACTGGCCACAACTGGATGGTGATCTGAAGCTATGTCAGCTCCTTTCTTGGTTCTCACATCTCCCATTGTCCTTAGCAACTTTTTATTGATGCAAATATGATCTATCTGGTTCTCTGTGGTGTAGTCCGGTGAGATCTATGTAGCTTTGTGTATACGTTTGTATAGAAATATTGTGCCTCCTATGACCAATTTGTTGAATGCACACAGATTTGCAAATCTTTTTCCATTTTCGTTTCTCTCACCCAATCAATCCATGTCGTCCCATGATATCTTCATATCCGGTGTTGTCTATTCCAACTTTGGCATTTAGATCTCTCATCAGAATGGTGAGGTCCTTTCTTGAGCACTTCTCTATGATTGACTGCAGCTGCTCGTAGGATTGGTCTTTAATGTCGTCGTTGCTATCATTGGTGGGTGCATAACATTGGATAACATTCATTTTGATCCCCTCCTTCTTTGTTTTGAATGATGCTTTGGTGATTCTTGATCCGTGAAATTCCCATCCTACAAGTGCATTTCGTGCTACTTTGGACAGCATTAGAGCAACTCCCTGAGTGTGCGGAGCATTTTTCTCTTCATGACCGGAGTATAGTAGCATCTCTCCCCTATTTAGCCTTCGTTGTCCAGCTTGGGTCCAACAAGTTTCGCTGATTCCCAGTACTGCCAAGTTGTAACTCCTCATTCCCGTTGCTATTTGACTGGTCTTCCCGGTCTCCCACGTTGCTTGGACGTTCCATGTACCTATAAAATTTTTTGCTCTGGTTGTTAGAAGGGGTATCGGCCTCGTGGCTTCCGAAGGAACTCGGCTTTCACCTTGAGGCGTCATAATTCTTCTAAATGAAGACATTCTAACTCCCAGGGCAGAGTTTAAAGGGTTTGGATTATTTTTTCTGGTAAACGTTTTTTTAGCGAGTTAGTTTTCTACGGGATGGGGACGTTAACCCCATGCCCAACCCTCCTCCGTTACCCGGGCTTGGGACCGGCAGTAACCCTATAAGAGCTACAGGCGGAGTCCGGATAATGAAAACCCAGCACAAATTTCAGATAGAGAGGAAAAAACATCATAGTTCTAGTGGACAAAGGTTGGACCATGGTAATTGTGGATAAACTATTTGAAGATTTTAACGTATACAAATTAAGGGACACAAATCGGATGAAAAAAACTAGAAAACCATATATCTAGGACTTTAAACAACCCCATTGAAGCAGAAGAAATGTCAAAACAAGAACAATTGTTAATGAAATCCAGAAGTCCAGTTCTTTCTCGGTTCTATAATAGGTCGCAACAACACAAAACTCATGTTCCAACACACCCAATTACCCTCATTCATTGGAACCCAGACATACAATCAATAAAGATAAATTTTGAGTCTTAGCAACTCGTCTGCTATTGAGTCTTCGTATATAAACCAAGAACATCTTTATATCCATGCATGCATTATGAGTACAGCTAATTAATTATAACAAAACGGACGTTTCCATCGCTCAGTCGTAGTAATCACATTACATAAAGGACATATGTCAATAAACATAAAAATCTGGACATTCATGCATCCACAGGATAACATGCACAAACAAATACAACAACAAAAGTGTACTATGTGATCATCTGTGTGTATGTGTCTGGGTGTGCATGTGGAAAAAGGAAAGAGTGAGTGGGAGCGAGATATTGCTAGAACACACAATTCATAAAGGACGTTAATCAAAGACAAAGACAAAATTGTCCATATATTGAGCAAATGAACAAGAAGATTAATCATCAAATCCTCAACAGTGTATAAAAAACAGTGATTCACTGCCTCATGGTCCAAATAATACATGATGAAAAACAAATCATTCTATCCGAAGTAAAAGTCAAGTATCCATGATGGTGTGCGTGTGTGTACGCGTGTGTATCATCTAATATTGATGAGAATGTCTAAAATCTGGGTCTGCAACTTCCCTTCATTTCATCTTCATCTCCACTTCCCGTTTTTTAGCGAGTTAGTTTTCTACGGGATGGGGACGCTAACCCCATGCCCAACCCTCTCCTTTACCCGGGCTTGAGACCGGCAGTAACTCTGGAAGAGCTACAGACGGAGTTACTATTTCTTACCTCAATGTTAAATTCTATTACATATTTGGTTGTATGCAGCTTTCGAGAAACCAAGAAATATAATGCAGTTATATTATTCTCCATCAATATTTGTTCTGGCTTTATTTAAACTATAATTATACATACTTACAGGATTTACAATGTAAAACACTAAGTATGGTTGTTATATTTATATTTAAATAATTCATTGGGTGAATGAACATGGCAGTAGGCAATATAAAACGCAGTTATCGTAAACTTGTGAAGTGTTCTTCCACATGATCTTCCATAATCATAAATTCTATAAGCTTCATACAATTCTGATAAACAAAAAGTCAGTCTTGAGACAAATAATTCAGCTTAGTTATCAGTATCAAATTCAATAAGTTAACCAAATAGCAGGTAACAGAATGTACCTATAAGTGTCTTATTTGTAAATAGTACTGTTCATTAGAGATTCCGGATTCTGTTAATAGAAATTCATTGGTAATTTTTTAACAGACACATCATAAATTAGTGCTAATTACAACTTGCTTCAGTTACTATGCTCACAACAGACACACATCGTCCGACTTATGAAGAAAGTGTGACCTATTAATGTGGCACTTATAGTAATGTTATATACAGTTCTGTGCTTCAACTTACATTTTACAAACAGCTATGAACATCCAAGTTCAACACCACTATAATTATGGAGGTGAATGAAATGCAAATGCTTTCACAGCTCATTTTTGCATATAACTCTGACATGAGTAAATAGATGAATAACATGACCACAACTCATAAACAATTAAAAAAGAACGCTAATGTCCACTCGTCAGGAGAGCCACAACCAACATATACCTATATAGTACGTGCTTACTGTTAGTGAGAATCGACCATCTATTGATTATTTTGTTTTCCAGATTAAACGTTATTTATCTCCATAAATGATCTTATACAATATTTTGTGACGTCACCAATGTTTGTTTCATTGCTGAGTTCCGTGGCCATAAAGGAGATATGAGTGCCAGAAATTTGTTGTTTAGCTTCGATTGCTCGTTCAATTTTCACCACGTATTTGGCCTGAATTACTTTGGACTTATGCCGAGTCAGTTTGTAATACAGTAGGAATTCAAGAATTAACTCATTAATACTTGTTATTTGATTCTAGTTCTTCTAGGGTTGTGTGGTATCAAGCACTGGAAGCTTCAAATCCCCATCACATAACTATGAACGCTTCACTATGTTATTATTTTACTTTAGACCGTGTTTATGATGCCAATCGGTTAGGTTAATTACTTCAACCTACATTTTACAATCAGCTACTAACTCGACAATGTGCATTAGAAATTAGTTCATAATTAGGTCAGTGATTGTGGATTCTGTTTACAGAAATGCATTCGTAAACCATATAACAGATACATTATAAATTAGTATTAACTATGACGTGGTTTAGTTACCATGCTCAAAACAAACACGCATCGTTTTACTTATGAAGAACATGTGACTACTTAATGTGGCACTTCCATTAGTGTTATACACTGTTTCTGTATACGTCCAGAAAGCAGATAGAAAAGACTCAACGTTAATTGCTACTCACATAATTTTTCTCAGATACGTTACATAATAATATGTAACTTTAGTCTAAAACGGTTTTGCTTATAGTGGATATAACTGTTTATGACTGTATGTTAGCAAGCTATATAATATTGATAAATAGTTAAACGCTTAATTGCCTCAACCTACATTTTATAATCAACTACCAAAATCCGTGTTCATCATCACCATAATCAAGGAGGTGAACCAAATGTAAAAGGTTTTAAAGCTTATTTTCCTTAAAACTCAATTTGTGATCTATTTTTGACTTGAAAAAATGGTGAATTTTACTTGCTTGAGGTTGTATTGTTACAAATAACCACATTAGGCTGACTTAATATTCACTCAGGTTGTAAGCAACAAATACACCAAACTACTCATAAACTAATAAAAGCTATGCACAAACATGTGCACGAAAACCCCTGGCTTACCGGTTTACCCGTCCCCCAAAGTCGAAATACATAGTTTCATATGAAAAATGATGATAAACATGATAGTAATTTGATAAATAAAAAAAAGCAAATGATGAAATTATAATTATTCAATTATTTGTTAAACCTTTTTCTGTAAATTGTAAGTATTCGACTTATTTTCAGAATAGAAACACAACTTGAAATAATCATGATTATCTGTATAAAAATCGAGTCTTATAACAAAGAAAATTATCTGTTCAAGATATTCAATTTGTTATAAGTTTACTTTGTATTTCTATTTATTACTATCAACTTGTTGTTGTTTTCGTTGGTGATTAAAAATGCGCCAATTTGAATGATGAGTAAACTTACATCTTTAAATTCTTCTTATTTGTGATTGAGTAAAAGATTAGTGATAATTATGAAAAAAATGTATTATATAAATAAATATTTAGTATATTGAATTAGAATATGAATGAAGTAAGTACTTGCTTGCATTAAAATATTGTTATCAGTTTTTGGAGAAGTAAAATACTTTGGTACTTTCTTCTTCTTTTTCAAAGCATTAGATAGTATAATGATTAAATGCATAACAAGAAGGAGAAGTAGCAGAAGAAGCGAAATGACATATGTGTACATATATATATATATATATATATATATATATATATATATATATATATATATATATATATCCGTAATAGGAAAAAGGATTAATTCACAACCATTCAATGAATATACATTGTCATTGTTATACTTGACATGAATCTATTCACTGTAACAATAAATGATTAATCAAATGAACTAAAAGAAGTTTATATCAAAGTTATAAGCCAATATATTCATAAATAAATAAATTTGAAATGATTAAAGAAATTGTTTATATGGAAATTAAGTACAAATATTCAAGATTATGTTTAATGAAGTTGCTTTTTCTTTTTCAATGTTCAACAGAAGGTTTTTAAGAAGAAGAAGAAGAAAGAATTAAGTATGTAATTACTTAATTTTGTATAAGAAAAAACTAAAGAAGTAATGTACTATTGGAGAGAAAAAGAAAATATTCGAAATAACATTCACAACCAACTATTGCCATGTTTGTTGTTGCTAGTAACCATAAAATCATAGATCTTATAATAATTAACAATAATAAGTTATATTTTCAATGTTATTAGATCTAAAATGATGAATAAACTATTTGTTATTATTGTTGTCGTTGGAATTGATTAGATTTTTGTTCATTTTGTAAATAATAGTCATGAGTTACTTCATTTGTTTGGAATACATTACCTAGTTTTATATAAAGGGGATAATAAAATGTAATTTTTTCAAATGTTCTTTTGTTTGTTTTTTAATTAATATAGGGAAGTAATAAAAAATTGATTTATCGACAAAATGTTTCATCTAATATGTTTTCATTAAGCTAATTATTTATAATTTCAATTATAATTGAGTGAAGTCTACTATCTCTATTTTAATTTATTCAATCCGTTAAGTAGAATGGTGTTATGGATGCAGAGGAACATACCAATCATTATCATGCTTAAGTCTAATGGTGTCCTTGGACTTTAAATGGACATTTCCTATTGGCTATTATTTATTTCACTCGTTAAATATTGTACAGATGTTGTTTTCTATTTTTATGATACGATGTGGTCTGTTTGGTTGGTATATAAACAGAATATGTTTGAAGTATAACGATTCATATCTCAGAGGTTGTGACTTGTGTTCTGGACTCAACTGGCTGGGCTAGACAGGGAGGCGGGACCAGTCGAGACACTAGGTCGTCTCTTGCGTATTTACGTGTCATTATTCCGGTCGATAAGTCACTGCTCCATAATCAGCATTTATCCGTCACAATAAATGGAAAGTACAGTTTGTGTTTAAGTTTTCGTGATAGTGATTACTGAAGAACTGGTTTGTTACGTAATAACATTACATGCTTAGACACACTTGATAATATTTAAAATCGATCAATTAGATAAGTAATAATATGCTTTACAAATGGATCAGATATATTAGACTGATCATTAATTAGAAGATTACATGTTTTACAAATAAGACAATTTATCACTTTTACATAATGAATAAGGTTGTATTTCCATTCTCAAGTTGATTTCAAAGTAGATTGAATGATACAAGATTTATTTAAGAAAATAATACCTAATTGGTCAATTGCAATTTAACTAATCTGATCATACACATCAATTATGACATCGTTGTAAATGCAGCCTTTTTGAATAAACAGTTTCAGTTATCATTCTGTTCTTTAAGTAAGAAATTGGTGAATTTATCGATAAATTTGTGTATAATACTCAAAATTCTTTTGCAAATCAGGTTAAGTAAATTTAATGTAATTCGATTCAACAACTAATCTGTAGTATCACAAATTACGCAAGTATTTTAGTGCAGGAAGAATGACTTTCTGACCAGCGTTATTGAGAAAAACTGTCATAAATTGGAGAAGGTATGAAGAATGAAACTATGGGCGAAGAAGGATAATAAGAAAAGATATTTAGTGGCTAACAGTGGAATCCAGGATGCGCGTTTCGTCCTATTTGGGACTCGTCAGATGGATATACCTACATCTGTGTTGATGTTCACTCTGAGGCTCGAACCTAGTATCGTTCGCTTCTAACGTCACCACGTCCCAAATGAGACGAAAAATGCGTCCTGGATTCCATTGTTAGCCACTTAGAATGCTTGTGAATTAAGGCAATATCGAGGCATTATACACAGCATGCACATATGCCAATAAGAGACTAATCAATTGGAGTCATAAATGTCAATGCGAAGATTCAAGTACACAATACGAAGTGAATTTAAGAAAGGATAATGTTTGTTTGATGTTGAATAATGTTGATCATTAAGTTTGTTTCCAATGTTAGTAAAATATATACTATCGGAATTTGTATAAAAAAGTTCAATTTTCGACAGTCTGAAACTTCATAAAGGGGGGTTCTTTTTAAAAATAACACAAGTTAAACAAAATCAAAGTAAACATCAAGTCAGATATTTATCAAATGAAGATTCCACGTTTTTCTAGTGTAAAATGGCTCTATGTCATACTTTTTATTTGCTTATTTATAACTCGGCATCAATAGATCTAACATTTATAGTAGGATTACACTACTCAACTCGCATATGTATATTTGTACAACGATCTTGGAAAACTTTTCGACTTCAATTGAATAGATAGAATATTTTTCTAAATAAGTAAAATGGGATTTAACATTTTATGAAATTTTCCCGTTACTTATATTTCTTTATAATTACAGAATAACTTGTTCATTGTTTGTAAATTTCTAATAATAATTTAACGATTATTGAATACGGATTGGTTGAAGTTAGACATTAACACAGTTGGATGCCGGCCAGATCAGTGGTCTAGAGTTTAAGCGTTCGAGCACATCACCGATAGGTCCTGGGTTTGAGTCCCGTGAGGTGGGGCCGTGGATGCGCACTTCTGAGGAGTCCCACAGTGGGGCAAAACGGCCGTCCAGTGCTTCCAGGTTTTCTATGGTAGTCCAGCTTCAATTGATTCATGAATTCAATTATTAAACTGTTATTGTTGATTTAGTTTCTAAACTTTTAGTTTTAACAAGATCACTCGGAAGTATTTTATTTAACTAATTATTTAATTCTACCATTAGACACTCAGTACTGATTTAAATCAGTAAGCTAATTCATATTACATATAGGGGAAAATCACTATTGAAAACTAGATACATTTGTGAATCTTTTCCACTAAGATTTATTATCAATGTATAAAAATGCTTAAACAGATAACTGTACTTTTAATCTTGATTTTGTGTGTGTAGATCATAACACTAATTTGATCTTCGACACATACAGTCGTTTAAAGTATTGTGGGTGTGTGTATAACAGAGAGAGAGAGAGAGAGACAACATTACTTACCAAATTGTCCTGTATTCGAACTACGTCCGTCTGATGAGATTTGTCCATACATTTTATCATCTTCATTTGATTCCTCACTGGCCGCTGGGATCGGCATAAAATAGTTCAATAAAAGAAATCCTAAAAGAACTAAAGCTGATGCTGCTCCATACGCCCTGAACATTGTTGGAGTTCCTGATAGAAATAGTTAATTAACAGAAAGAATACTTTAAACGTTAAGTTTCTTGAGTAGAGTAATTAAAATTTATAGTAAACATTTACAAAATATATTCACGTTATATATTGATAAACATTTATTTCAGTCTCACCAGGAAGTTCAGTTTGGTTTATTATCTTTCCAAAAAGCCTCTTGTTACTAACATTAGATTCTTCTTCTAGGTCAGTCTGTACAATATTAACTAATCAGAGAACAAGTATTAAATGTTCATTAATCGTTTGTATCTATCCGACTAATCAGCAGTATAAAAATACTGGTTGAATAATCAGACGAAAATGTACTATAGCCCAGATCTGAGTTATATCTTAGTCAAGAAAATTTGCCGGTTTCTAATGTTAAATGATTATCAACAGTCAGCATGAACTCTAGGAGATGAATCCCGGGTTATTAGACTTTAACAAACAAGACATATTTATAGTCTTGATGAAGTAAACGCTCCTGCATTTTGTTTATTACCTAATGTATATACGATAAATTCAGATAAAGCTCCGAAAATCTATTAACTGATAATGTGTTTAAATAGCTCATCACTAATAATTAGAACACACGTTCATAGTAATTGACGTATAATTTTTTTTATCTCATAAGTATTGAGGGTAAGCAATAGTGAATTTGAAAGATTTAGTGTAGGGATTTCTACGTTAATGTTTACGTTTCTCAGAAGGGGTTTTTTGTGGATATTGTTATAATTTTACTAGTTGAGATCATGAGTCGATTAGAGCTAGACCACCATTGAAAACCTGGAAGCACTGAACAGCCGTTTCACTCTATTGTGGGACTGCTCGGAAGTTCGCATCCACGGACCCACCTCGTGGGATTCGGACCCAGGACCTGTCGGTTTTGCGCGAGAACGCTTAACCTCTAGACCACTGAGCCGGCATCCAACGATGTTAATGTTTAACTTCAACTAATCCACGAAATTAAGTGATACGTCCACCATTATCTTCAGTAATTTTTAGTTAAACAGCTTCTATCTTAATTAGTGACAAATGCTACTTCTTCGACTTACTGTGAGATGACTTCTAGAAAGAAATAGAAATCTAAGTAAACGGCAAACTTCATGTCCGTTTCGTTCAGGTTGAAGTTTTTAACAAGAATTATTTGTTAGGAATAGGACATATTTTGCAAAATATGATTTTTATGCTTCTTAATTTTATATCATCATGTTTTATTCAGCTTAAATTACATCAAATGTATTCCATTAAATGTGATATGACAGGCATTGTTTGAACATACAGTGTATAAATAAGATCAAGTCATTCTTACAAAAATTATATGATTTAAAAGACACTTTTCAGTAAAGTACCAAACAGTTCACACGAATCACACACATTTCAGAACGGATTTAATAAAACCTATTAGAGTTTAAAAGGTTTTAAGAAGTTTATTAATTGTCCAAGGTTTATTATCAATTTTGAAAGTTTAATATTGCAGAAATCTCATTGCATATTTTCATTCATTTATTCAGAATGTATTCATTTCAATAGATTCTTTGATCTTTCCCGAAGTTATTCATCATCACTTACAAAACATTTATTAAAGAGTTAGTGTTATGTCCTTTGATCTGTCTACCCACTTTTGGTGGTGAGGCTAACTTATCTAATCCAGATTAAGACCTTGGAGTGATAGGCTGACCGACCTAACCTTGAGGCTAGTACACGTGAGTTCGAAGTGGGGTAGAGAGAAGTAAACTATTCTATCACCTGATGGACTGACAAACACACGAATGAGAGAAGACAAGACAATTGGAAAATTACTCGATCTATTCCCGATATCCTGATTTCTGACTTTTGCCATTAGTGTAAAAAGGTACATGAATAAATAGGTGACTAACCCGACCATAACGTACAATAATTAGGAAAAACACAATTATGTCCAAAGCCGGGGATTAGCGTAGAAAATAGGGTGCAAAATATTATGTTTAAATTACAATAGTTTCGGAACAGAAAAGGATATGGCAATGAATCATACATCGAACGAAAGCATATGTTTTGTAAAATAGATTAGGGACAAAAATAAATGTTAGTGTTTTACAGGCTTTGAATAAAATGGAATAATAAAGTTCCGAAAAGTAGCTTTCGTAATTTGTCAGTGCTTCTTGTTTCGCTGTTCACATCAGTTAGTGAAACTGAAGGATAAGGTAACCATATGAGGAAGTTATGTATTAACAGATTAGTTATTCCTGTTTAATCAGTTTCTTACTCATATTACGTAACTATCAGTAAAATGTTTTCTTTAAAAGTTAAATGAAAAGTAAATTAGACTGAAACAAGAGTAGATTGTTTCTGAGTTGCTAAAAAGTAATGTATATCTATAAAAGTAACCATTTGATACGTGTACATTATTCTCATGTATAATGTATAATGAAAGGAGAATTTCTCTTCCTAATAAATTTATACATACTGATCATTATTACATAAGTATTTCAATTGTTCATTTTATGTGATGAAAGATAGAAGTTGTTAGAGTACGATCTAAGAAAGAGATCAAAATGTTTGTGATGAATTTTCAGCCAGTTCTTAGTTAATCATAAAATAGGTTTTGTAAATGGATAGTTAATACAAATTCCGTATATTTAATGAATTCATTAAGAATCTCTACAGGTTATTCTGTTTGTAAATGGCTTCACCTATCTGTATATATTTTATGCGTTTTATCGAAACCTTATAAGAACAAGTCTGAACGTTTAAGGCTTTATATTGTCTCTAGTTAAGGTGAGATATTAAGAATTAGAGGATTAAAATTAGGGTTTACATCACGAAATGACATCATCTCTCATGTAGAAATACTCTGCAGCTAACACATCCAAGTCAAGATCTAAGAGGTGTTTTCTGATTAGTTCGTTCACAAAATATAATGTCAGTAGGTTAAGGATTGTTTCAGAATTAATTAGTTAAGGTTATGATTTTTAAATAGTGTCAGTTTATCTGTTATATACCATCTATAGAGATAGAATTGTGCATTTAGTGCTTTTAAAATTAATATTTAACTTATTGGTGGCAAAAATATTTTTTTCATTATCATTTTATACATCTTAATCAGTAATGAAAAGGTATGTTTACTACTTGTTAAGCGTGGTACTTAAATTTTTTGCTAAAACCTAAAATTAATGTTCTAGATCCTGATTGACTAGAACCGATGATTTACATTTACCGATAATATAGATCTATAGTTAATACATTTGTTTTGAGTTATCTAAACATATGATTCGTCAGCAGTTTGAATTCACCTTCTATATAAGGTCAATTACAGAATCTTCAGATCACGAGAAAAGTATAAAGCCATTGAACCATAACTAAAATAATCTTCATACTGAAGTAAACTCTACAAATTACCTAAATAAAAGATGAAAACCATTATCTGTTATCACATTAGGCATCTATTATTGTCATGTAATTCAATAAGAAATGTAACTAACAAATAATAGATCTTTATCGGGTGTGAGACAATTATCCACCACAGGAGATAGACGGAGGGTTGTACAATATCTTGAATTAGTAAAAGTTAGACATTAACACCGCTGGATGCTGGATCAGTAGTTTAGATGTTAGGTGTTCGAGAGCGTGACATAGTCTTGGATGAGTACTACTGGTGAGTCCCATACTAGGATGATATGTTCGTCCAGTGCTTCCAGGTTTTCAATGGTGATCTACCTTATATCGACTAGTGATTTCAACCGAAATAATCAAACGTTTTTAATAATAACTTTTGAATTGCAAATATTATTTAGGGATTAACGATATCTCCCACTTAGTTACGCTATATTAAACAGAATCTTGTTGAGATGTGAAATGGAGTGTAGTCAAAAGTCAACTAGTTTCAAATCACTGTGTCAGAAATCAACTTTCTTCTCATACTGGTAAAGTGTACTTGATCTGCAAAAAATAACGAATACATGAAACCTGTTTTCTATTCTTCTATGAAAGTAATTTTATTAATACGATGTCTAGGAAACTGATATACCAAAACAAAAACACTCCTAAAATCTAAGAAAAACATATCAACCTACAATATGTGAAAAGCTTTTACCTAAATCAGTATAATAATTTTGAAATCTCTTAAAAACCATCTCTCTCCCACAAACCCTTAAAATCAGTTCATCTCATTCTTTTTTAAATAGAAAAATACAAGAGAGGAATAAAACATTGTAAAACATAAATTTGACCAATCACGAAAAGCCTTACACTATGTAAAGTGGAAGCACTCATCATATTGTACTTAAATGTACTTAGACTAGCAATGAAACAATACAAAATGTCATCATCTATATCAGTTCACACGGACAAATATGGATATAAATTTGATTGGAAAAATGTTCGCATTGTGAATCGAGGAAGTAGGTATAACAGAAACCTTTTAGAAATATGAGATTTCAGATTATTCGCAATCAACAGACATCATTATGAATCAGCTCCAAAATACTCTGGTACGGCCGAGAGTGGAGGGGAGTCAGTTCTCCCTCTCGAAATGCTCTCACATGACCACGTGCATACAACTACTTGCAGGGAAGACCTACTCACTATTTTCTCGCGGTATGTGTTTTTTTTAGAAAATTGAGAGGACAAAATACCGAGTTGATAAGTGCGGAGGATTCACTATGGGGAGTTGGAAAACCCTGATTCCAAATCAATGGAGCACACTGGCTCGAGGGTCCTGAAGGGACAAATGGCGTATGAACTTATTGTTAGTCACCGGCTATCATAGGACTGCATCTCCTGACGTTGCTTCATTGTCTTGTGCATTAGACCACTAGGTCAAAGGCTCGGGCAGTGGCCTTCTAAGAAGGTTACCTGCAGTATTCCAGCCCTCACATAAATCGAATGATGAAGTGTGGCATATATATATATATATATATATATATATATATATATATATATATATATATATTGGGGACGATAGATCCCCAAAACTCATATTTTGTAATTTCATCTTATCGATTAACTTATTGATTAAATGTTAAATATTTGAATGGATGTCAATTGATGAACTTATCGATTAAATGTTTAGATAGCAGTCACTTGACGAACTTATTGATTAATGTTTAAAAAGATTTCCATGTCAATATCGATTATAAATATTTATATAAATACGCTTGGTTTGTGTGCCTGATTGACCTGGTGTCTGCTGGTTGCCTGTAGAATACACTTTCTATGTCTTACCAAGACTTCTTGATCGCGTTAGCTGAGTCGGGGACAACAGACCAGAATAGTCTATCGAGATTCTGAATCCCTTGATCCGATCGATAAGTCACTGCCCTTTAATCGGCAAAAAAAACGCGTCACAAGCAAGATTAGCAGGACGAACTAATTAAATATACGTGAAATAATGATAATATCAAGAAGGACGATGAAAGCTTTTCATTTGAACCATTTAATTTAAACAATGTAATATTACCGAATAAAGAGGATAATATTACAAAACAAAAATCACAACTATCATTTACCATAACTAGATATAACAAGTCCACCAAATATGGCACCTAGACCACGTCCCATACCATAATGTATTGCACGAAGAAATCCTAATGTTGATGAACGAAATTCCGGCTGGAATGCTTGCATAATATATGAACAACAGGCTACCCATACACCAGCATGTGTAAGACCTGAAAAAGATTTCAGAGGAAGAACATAATATCAGGAGGAATCTGATAGGATCATTTTTGTAATCATAATATAGAGAACTTTAGGAAGTTAACTTGATGTACCCTAATTCGTGTTTATTGAAATTTAATTTGTTTGTTTTTCAATTTCTTTCTTGTTACTTATTATTAAGGATTTTCCACCTTAAGTTATTGTCCATGAAACTGGTTTGAAAATTCACCTTTATTCTAATCGGTGGAAAATCACGTTCGGCTTGAAGTATAAAGATATTGGCTGTCTACATTAGTTGTTCATTGAGTGATAATGAATATCATATTTGTCTAGTGCATAGTTCTGGTCGGTTTCTATCGATTAAATCCCAATGTAATCATTAGTCTAAGCAACCTGAAATCATGAGCACTATGTTGTAATGCTAGTTGGTTTTCAGCAGATGACAGAAGACACAAAATTCAGGTTTTATGCTGGTTGTTACACGTCAACAAGATGCTTCTAATATCCTGAAGGAGCTGAGGTTTTGTATGAGACTCATGACTGAATGCCATGGCTTAAACTAATTATCAAGCGTATGTTGGTTGTTCTATGATTCACCATTCAAATTATCGTTATTCTATTTACGGTTTACTATTTTTGAAGATTTTACGAAACACCCGATGGGTAAATTTATTTATCACTTTCCAACTAAGGCTGGTATATTAAACTATGTAAATGTTTTCTAAAAAGTAACTGATTTATTCTACCTTAAAAATGTATACCTCAGAATAATGCGGAAGTTTATTACTTATACACCAAGATTTCTTGATCGGTTTGTCTATTATTCATTCGTGAAATATCTTTTTACATTATAAGCATAATATGTAGGGTAATTCAACGTCTTCATTTTGACGTAACAGTTACTCTTTCAGAGATGATAATTTAAAGTACAATGTGGTTTACTATTTATAAAAAATTTGAAACAGAAGTTTTAGCAACTAGAAGCTGGATGTTTTATCAGTTCACTGGTGAAGTGAAGTATAATCATAATTATAGTGATTGATAACATGGAAGTTTGAATAATATGAGTTCGACCAGTTAAAGATTTATTTCAATATTTTTATCAGTAAGGTTTGTTTTAATTTTTGCTTTCAAAATTTAACCGCCATCTTTTTAAATTTATAATAAATGGTTTAACTAAAAAGTGAACAATAAGAATAATTAAGCAAAGATGGATAGTGGCTAGTAGTGGAATCCAGGACGCGCATTTTTTCTTATTTTAGGACTCGTCAGCTGGATGTACCTGCATCTCAGAGTTGATGTTCCCTCTGTGACTCAAATCCAGTACCGTTCGCTCCAAACGCTATCGCGTTATCCACTTACTTGTGCAATAAGAATAATTCAAATGAAATGAATAAGTTACATAATAAATGTTAATAATTTATTCATAAACATTTCAAAATTCAGATAATTCATATAATGAATAGTAAAACAAAGATACTACTGAACAGAACATGTTGGAACCAAATGAGTGTGTTTTATATTCTAAGTTGACCTACTAAACATGTATTAATCAGAAACTTATCAATACAAGTAATATTAACTTTTGTATAGGTGAATGTTGAAAATTGATGGATGATCTATGATGATATATAAATCATGGACAATAATTCCAGTTATGATAATATTCTTAAATAAGATGATTCTATGAGAATTTCCTTATATCATTAAGCAATATTTCGTTACAAATTGATTTTAATTGAGGCATTAAATAAATATATGGAACGTTCAACTTGAAAATGGAATGTTCTATCCCATGTAAAGTTATGTGTACACCCTTCTTAAACAGACATGAAATTGTTATCTAGAGTCTCCTTGTTTTCAATGATTGCCCAGTTAACAATAGTATTAGTAAAAAAAAAAGAAAAACTATCATACACTACAGGGTAGTAGCTCTTAAAAAACCTTGGTACCCTTTGAGCAGTTCACAGAGCATTTAGTTGCCAAAAATTTTACTGAAGTGTTGAAATAGTTTGAGGAACACAGACAAATTTAACCTATCCTATCTCAAAGCTCTTGTAAAACAAAAAGAATTAAACATATTAAATCATTAAACAGGATTCAACTGATTACAATCTTTAAGTTACTGAATTATTATCTTGTATCTATCATTCTTTCATTTTTCTCATTTACCTTCAGGACTAACTTACTGAAATACTTTTAAATGTTTACAAACTCAGAGTCAACTACCAACAGTTGAATTTTGATTACCACATCTATTTGTCAACGAGTAGAACTCTCTGCCTTAATATGTGTTTGGCAGCTCCATCTGTAGATATATCCAAGACGAATTTGGAATCAGTTCGAGACGTCCATTATTGTGTCTAATATAAGCCCATGTTTGTACTGAAATAATCAATATTTTATCATGACGTCAGTTTCAGTGTAATGTTTTTTATACTTTGAATAACTGGGAAACAATTTGAAAATAAGACTTTAGCGGCGAGACTATAATCTATAGACGAACCAATCAGGTTCAAGATAACAAATCTTGGATTTTGGCACGAAATTCTTTCACCCATGTGGCTAAATAATATTTTGGGATTATAACTAATATCATTTTATGATGAAACTCTTAGCTCCAATTCCTAACCCTAAAGCCCAACTGTAAGTCCTAATTTTGATTCTTCACATTAATTTGTAACCCTCGTTAGACCTTAATTTGTAGGTGAACATCTTAGTCATTCATAAATTATATTCTCACCTTATTGACCTTTATGTTCATTGAATAATTTCAAATACTCTTATGCCTTATATTATGTTGAGTGTATAAAAGTCAAGTTCTTAAAAATTAATATACTTCTATAAAAAATAATAATATACAATTTTGAATCACCTTGTATAAATTCAAATGGAAGTATCCACCATGGATTTGTGATCCAAGAGACATAAAGAAATCTTGCCACATTACCAACTAATCCCAAATACAGAACTTTTATATGACCTAGATTTAGAAAAAATTAAACTGTCATATTATAATTACGTAATATACACGTAAACATAAATAAGCTTTGGCTAGAAACATGAGTTTAAATAATTCATGTTTGTAAATGAAAATGTTTTAACTGCTAAACAGTTTATATTCATGCTTCCACACACGATCAAATCTCAGTTTACGTCTTGAGCTTAAAACCATTTAGTCAAATTATTTGAAATTAAATCGTTCTTATCTTTCAGCTTCAGCTCATTCGTATAATCGTTTTGTTATCATAATGTCTTGTTTCCTACACTTTCACAGTATTCATTTGAAAGGCTTGAAATAGTTCATAATGAATTCCTGTTTTATCAGAGAGGCTTAATTCTCTAAGGAGCTGAGTATCAAAATATAATCAGGTATTTTCAGTGCTCTATAATCTTTCATTAATTTTCCTGGTCATATCTGTTAAGAATAATAAGAAAAATCTTTGAAATTTCATGACATTTATCGTTTAATGGGACCCGTTATTTTGTCGTCGTTTACATCGGACGATGTTTGTTGACGGGCTCTCCACTTTAGTGGCCCGTGATCTGACTTTAATTCGATCGTAATGAATGTTTGTTATCGCCTAACCTCTTTTATAATCATCGACTTAAATCGTATTAGTCAATAACGGAATTAAATAAGTCAAATAACGAGATTGGACTTGTGAATACACATGCTTTGTATATAAAGCGAATGGAGTAGAGAGAAGAGAAACAACGTAGAGTGTAGATGGCGGATAAGCCAACTCCCATTTAACCAAGCGTTATAGTTACACAAAAGTGAGTTACAGACATGTGATGTGTAGTGAGATAAAAAAATGTACACACACCTATGCGCTCATATAAAAACAGTCAAGATCGATAAGCGAATAAATAACCAGGTCAGAATGTGACTCAAGTAGAATGAATGAAATGGTCTGGCCGAAAGCTAGAATAAGGTATTCGGGCTTAACATAATAATCGACAATATAATCTAATAAAACGATTTTATCAAAGATGGAATTTAGTAGGACTCTTGTTATATCCCGATAGGTATAATGAATGGTAACTTTTGAGATCCATTTATGGACCAGTACTATGTGTATATTTTTATGGTATGATAGTTAGATAACAAAACTATTCATATTCATGTCCCGTTTATTATGAGCTTTATTTTGATCTATGATCTATTATTATAAGATTTGCCATTCTTGAATTGTGCCCTGTCTATTAATCACTACCTCCCATATTCACAGCCACATTTGGCCGAATTTTGTACAAATGTTGTTTCATATTTTATGGTACGATGTGGTCTATTTGATTGGTATAAAAACTCAGTATGTTTGAAATAAATGATTCATATTGCAGAGGCTGAGGTTTGTATTCTGGACTCAACTGACTGGGCTAGGCAGGAAATGGGACCAATAAGGACTCTAGACTGGTCGTACGTGTTTTATGCGTCATAGGTCTGATTGATAATTGACGGCTCTCTAATTGGCGATATGATTACGTTACACATTAGCAGGGCACATAGCTGCCACGAGTTATTATAACAATTCTGATATTATCATGAAGATGAATATAGAGATTATAATAGTAAATCTTATCATTTACGTTGCTTACCGATCATTATATGATCTATGATGTAACTTGTTTGACAGTAATTGGCTTATGAAATAATGAATATTGGTAGGTTTTTTCTTCATTTTCAATGGTACAAATCCATCTAATCCTTTTACTCTAACCGTTTACTGAAAATTAGTGCTTAATTTATTTATGATAACCGAAATATGCTGGATATTTGTTTAAATTCGAAGTAGATTTTTATTGTTTCAACTTGAAACCTTTAACAGATAAACCTAAGATACAAAGTGATGGATAGACAGACAGACGATTATGCATATCCACCACTATTGAGAAATCAGTCAATGGATTGTAGTTAAAATCGATACAAACTAAGTCTTATTTATCCCATTCTCTCTTAAGACTTAGTTTAAACTAAGACTATAGGTAGATTTATGCAATAAAACACTATAGTGTACTTGTTGTTTTCAACTATAATATTTATGACGTTATCTTTTTTAGTCCTTCCAAGATATAATAAGAGTTTCACAGATTGAAATCATGAATCAGTTGAAGCTAGACCACCATTGAAAACCTGGAAGCACTGGACGGCCGTTTCATCCTAGTGTGGGACTCTTCAGCAGTGCGCATCCACGATCCCGCACCACGCGGGGCTTGAACCCAGGACCTACTGGCTTTGCGCGCGAGCACTTAACCATTAGACCACTGAGCCGGCATCCAACGGTGTTAATGTCTAACTTCAACCAATCCACGAAGTTGTGCCACCGTACACCATTGTCTTCGGTGAGTTCTTATCTCACAACAGACCTGGTTGAACTCCACTGGTAATGGCTTCTCACTAGAACTTCGGGAGTTTTTCCTGAAGTCAGTCACTAGTGAGCAGTTGATTATTATCAGAATGGGTTTTGTGGGTGAAACGGCCGTCCAGTGCTTCCAGGTTTTCAATGGTGGTCTAGCTTCAACTGACTCATGATTTCAATCTGTGAAATTTCTAAAATCTCCACAAAACCCATTCTGATATAATAAGAGTGTTGTTGTTGTTGGAATAATTGATACCATTTTATTATTTGAGGCGAATCGTATACAACTAAGAACAACACTGATTTTTGATAATGAATAGTCAGTCAGTCAATCAGATACAACGTAGGATCAGGCACATATACTGAATGTTCTATCCCATGTGAAGTTATGTGAAGCTTTTATTTAGAACCCCCTTGTTTTCAATGATTTTTCAGTTGATATTATTATTAGTAACAAATTGAAAACTACGATACATTACAGAGTAGTAGTTTTTTGAAAAAAAAACTGGGTACCCTTTTGAGTATTTCACAAAGCATTTAGTTGCCCAAAGTTTTACGTACATATTGGAAAAATTTAAGGAACACTGATAAATTTGATCTATCGTAATGAACAATTCATTGATTTCATTTATGCAAAACTTGATCCCTTTCAAAGTTCATTCATTGATATTTATTATATTCATTATTTATTATTTACGCCTGTTCCTCCTCGTGAAGGAGCATAGGCCGCTCACCAGCATTCTTCATTCAACCCTGTTCTGGGTAATCCTTTCCAGCTCCTTCCAGGAAAAATAATTCTTTGATATACATATAATCCATTATTAGTTCAAGTTTTCTATATAAATTAAAACTTAAACAATTTATACAGTTTAATAATTAATAATCAACAAGTATTAATCTTAAACACTAACCAATTTTATCAATTATTTGTTTACTAAATTGATACATTAATATCTCTGATACATGATTGATAATTGATGCAATACCAAATAATGTTGGTGAACCATTTAATTCTTGCATATGCCAAAATAAAAATGTAAATACTTGACCTAAACCCAAACCCATAAACCATATCACGAATAAGAATGCCAATAAACTTGGTTGACGAAATTGTTTCAATGCATAAAACCAATTTGTTACCTGGTATTAATTAGAAGAAAAAAAGAAGAATATATATGTATAAATTTTAATAGAATTCTGAATATTAAAGATTATTTGATTAGTTGAAAATTATGATACTTCATTCTGAAGATCAGTTACTATAGTTTTATTATTCTTATTAGTAATGTGAAATAGATTCTTTGGATCACAATTAAAATAAAGTGAGTTCATGAGTTCTAATCATTATTTCAATGTTCTGGAACTTTCCCTCTCAAACTTTATTTATTCGAGACAAAATGTTATGACCTCATTAATTCTAACGAAATCATTGCTACATCATGTTACATATATTCATCCTTCATCACTCTCTGATGTATAAGTATATCAATATCTATAATCACGTTGAAATCTAAATATTTTAGATTGTGAGCAGCTGATGAGAATCTAACGAAATAAAATGAATTCATATTATTCTGCACCAATCTTTGTTCTTGCTCTCTTAAAGATAATAAAGGGAACTATGTGTATGAAATTGTAATTACTGTTTAAATTTGATAGTTGAATTCATGAGTTAATTGAAGCTAGATAAACATGGAAAACCTGGAAGTACTGAACGGTTGTTTCATCCTAGTATGGGACTCCTCAGCAGTGCGCATCCACAATCTCGCCGTGCAAAATTCGAACGCAGAACTTATCAGCTTCACATGCGAACACTTCACCTCTAGATCACTGGACCAACATCCAGCGGTGCTATTGTTTAACTTCAACCAATATACGAATGTTAGTGAGAACAGGAATAGTAAGAAATACAGACTATCCAAACTCATCAACACAGCTGTAATTTTTTTATATTTTATGTTCTTGTGTGACTGAAGAGTTTTGTAACTTTCATATTCATCCTTCATTAGTCGTTTGTGAAGTAACAAGTAAAGCGTGACTGTACTATTCGATATTTAGATTATATATATATTATATATATATATATATATATATATATATATATATATATATATATATATATATATATATATATATATAATTAAACATATGCTTCATTGGTTAATTTCTGATTCTGGCATTGTGTTGAAATTTATTCAGTTGACAATTGTAGATCAGCTTTGGAATCTAATTAGTTCATTTGATTAACGTAGTTATTTCAGTATTTTATTATTTCCTTTGATTTGTTATCAGAGATATAAACTACTTAAATGATTTCATTTCAGTACTTTATAAACATGAATGATTAGAACGAAGACACTACTTATGTTGTTAAACATTGCTATCAGTTAAAAGTTCTTATTAAGATTCTATTCTCATATTCTATATAAATACAGGCGAATTACAATATATATATTTCTGATTGATAATAAGATTTCTGAATTATCAACCAACATACATGATAAACTTATGTGTGTTAAATCAAAACAAGTCTAAGTCATGTTCAATGGATGTTATTAATCAAACAACGATTTATTCTATATGAAAAAGGTTACTGGACATGTATGATATTTTAACAACAATGACATAAGAATGGAAAAATATGCTAGAATTAGAATTTGTATATGGTAGTAACAGGTTATGAACGCTTCCAAGTATTACAAAGTCTAATTAGTGAATAGTATTTATCTAATATTGACAAGTATATACTGAAATGAAATTCAAAATAGATTATAAGAGTACTATGGTTTGTGCTACTGATGTCGATATAAGTAGTATGCATCACCAATAGAAAGTGGAATTTTGGTGGAGTTTTGTTCTCTGAGCTGGATGGTTTGGTCGTGGAGCTTTCATCGTTCTTCTGAACGACATCATCAGCACAAACTTCAAGTAGAAGTGAAGTGTTAGAATTTCTCCATATGTGTTTCACAGCTTGTTCTGTGCACCTCGATGTTGACCTTAAATTTATCATTGTTTACTTCTTTGTTTTGGTTGTGTCTTCCATTGGTTTGATTTTCGTTCTTATATTTATGCATGATTTTTCTGATTGGTTGATAAATTGGATTGATTTCAATATGTTTGTTGATTGCTGATTGACCTGAGTGCCAGGCTTCTAAAAATTCTCTGGTATTTTTGGAGTTTCCTCTGTCTAAGATTTCTACATTTTCCCAATCGAATGAGTGTCCGTAGTTATCCACGTGTATTGATATAAGTGAAGAGATATCATGGCGTTTCACTGCTAATTGATGTTCATGTAAGCGTAGATGGAGGGGGCGTCCGCTTTGCCCGATGTAGTGTTTGTCGCAGTTGGTACAATTTATTTTGTAGATTATGTTTGATTTGTTTTCCTTTGTTATTTCATCCTTTGGTTTGCATAGGATTGATTGTAGTGATTTTTCTGGTTTGTGTGCCACACCTATCCCGAAGTTTTTCAGCAGTCTCGTTGCGGTTTCTGATATTCCTTTTATGTACGGTAGGGTGATCCTTTTGTTGATTTTTGTGCTTGACTTGGGTTCTGATGCTGTGTGCCGTTGGTGCTTTTTGATGAAGTTGATTGGGTAGCCGTTCTTTTGAAATATGTCCTTCAGGTGTTTCTCTTCATTTTTTCGTGCTGCCAATGTGCTGCAGTGTGTCCTCGCCCTCTTGAACAATGTGTGTACGCAGTTGATTTTGTGAGCTCTTGGGTTGTTGCTGTTGTAGTTGAGAATTTGATCTGTATGGGTCGGTTTCCTATATACTTGAGTTTCCAGTTTTCCTGAGTCAGTTCTAGTGATCAATATATCCAAGAATGCTAGTTGGTTGTTTGACTCTTGTTCCATTGTGAATTTGATATCATTGAAAACTGGAAACTCAAGTATATAGGAAACCGACCCATACAGATCAAATTCTCAACTACAACAGCAACAACCCAAGAGCTCACAAAATCAACTGCGTACACACATTGTTCAAGGGGGCGATGACACACTGCAGCACATTGGCAGCATGAAAAAATAAAGAGAAATATTGAAGGACATATTTCAAAAGAATGGCTACCCAATCAACGTCATCAAAAAACACCAGCCGCACGCAGCATCAGAACCCAAGTCAAGCACAAAAATCAACAAAAGGATCACCCTACCGTACATAAAAGGAATATCAGAAACCGCAACGAGACTGCTGAAAAACTTCGGGATAGGTGTGGCACACAAACCAACAAAATCACTACAATCAATCCTATGCAAACCAAAGGATGAAATAACAAAGGAAAACAAATCAAACATCATCTACAAAATAAATTGTACCAACTGCGACAAACACTACATCGGGCAAAGCGGACGCCCCCTCCATCTACGCTTACATGAACATCAATTAGCAGTCAAACGCCATGATATCTCTTCACTTATATCAATACACGTGGATAACAACGGACACTCATTCGATTGGGAAAATGTAGAAATCTTAGACAGAGGAAACTCCAAAAATACCAGAGAATTTTTAGAAGCCTGGCACTCAGGTCAATCAGCAATCAACAAACATATTGAAATCAATCCAATTTATCAACCAATCAGAAAAATCATGCATAAATATAAGAACGAAAATCAAACCAATGGAAGACACAACCAAAACAAAGAAGTAAACAATGATAAATTTAAGGTCAACATCGAGGTGCACAGAACAAGCTGTGAAACACATATGGAGAAATTCTAACACTTCACTTCTACTTGAAGTTTGTGCTGATGATGTCGTTCAGAAGAACGATGAAAGCTCCACGACCAAACCATCCAGCTCAGAGAACAAAACTCCACCAAAATCATCCACCTGAGCTACAAATCTTCTCCACCATCTCAGAAAGTGGAATGTCTGGCGGCAGAAGGTTGAGAAGATTGAAGAGATGAGAACGAGAACAGAGAGTGATCGGAATGGAAAAAAAGAAAATTCAAGTCTGAGACAATTGATTGACATTTTGCAAATGAAGTAATAACAGTATGATTCTCAGATTTTAGTAAGAGTTTTTGTAATTTTGTGTTTAAATACATTTGATTATCTCCACTTGTGTTCTCGTTCACTACAGTACTAGTGTTTATCTCTTCTGCAGAAATCGATCTTAACTTATTGGAGAAGTTTGTTTTCCATAATTATTTTAGAAAATTTGTTTCAACAAATACTCGTCGTATTTTTATAGACTATTTTGAATGAATTCTTCTAGATTTCCATCAGTATTGGGTTGTAGAGATTATTAAGTTTTTGGTTGAGATCACGAATAGATTGATGTTAGACCATCACTGAAAACCTGAAGGCATTGGACGATCGTTTCGCTTTATTATGTGACTCCTTATCAGTGCGCATCCATGATCCCGCTAGCAATTCTCGATGGTGGTCTAACATAAACTGATTCATGATCTCAATCAAAAAACATTTTGTATTGTTTTTTATGATAAAAATTGTAATGGTAAAGAGTTAATTTAAAGTCCCTAATTTCAAACTTTTTCTTTTAAAATTCAGCATTTAATCTGATCTCTTTTTTAAAATCTTTTTGGGTTGAAAGATAATTCATTAGATTTCTTTGATGATGATCAGTATAAAAGTAGATAGAAAAAACGTCTTCTAAATTAAACTGCTACAAGTGCTTGCGCGCGAAACCAGTAGGTCCTGGGTTCGAATCCCTCTAGGTGCGGGATCGTGGATGTGCACTACTGAGGAGTCCCATACTAAGACGAAACGGCCGTCCAGTGCTTCCAGGTTTTCCGTGGTAGTCTAGCTTCAACTGAATCATGATTTCATTCACTGGATCAGATAAAACGTTTAAATAAATGATATTTACTAGTAATTTATTAAGAAGATATCTCGGCAAGACTATAATTTATGGATGAACTAATCAGATATAAGATAACACGTCTTAGATTTTGCTGCGAGATTCATCCCCTCATTTGGCTAAATATCATTTCAAAATTATAGATTATTTCAGTTCGTGATGAAAACATTAAATATAATTTCTAACCTTAACATGTAACTGTAAATCCTAATCCTAGTTCCTCGCATTAATTTATAACCCTCATTTAACCCTAGTAAATAGATAGACATTTTCAAGGTCATTTTAGCGTTGCACAAAGGTCGTCCATAAATTATAGTCTCACCGATGTCACTATTTATTAATCAATGTTGAAATAGGAGTTTTTGGACATTTGAAGTAAAATTTCATCATTGAACGGATAATCAGCTAAATGATAATTAAGAATTAGAAGAAACAGAATCAATATGATTTTTCTTATTTCAAGTCTCTTTAATATTAAACATCCATAAACTGACCATAAATTGAGTCTAGGACATTCCTTCCACATAACAGGAATGGTACGTAATCAGCTGTTTAGAAATGTCATATTACAAGTATACTGTTTTTCTCTTACAGAAAATACATTTGTTGATTAGTTATTGCTAAACGCTTAATCAAATTAAAAATGTCAAATATGATCATGGTTACACGATTAGTAAACAATTTTTCAAATGGCATAATTTTCTCCATCAATACCATAATATTTCATCCAATAGTTACCATCTAATTGAGTTTGTGTAATATCTGAAGTCTATAGCAACTCTCCCACAATTAATTTTAGTAATTTTGTCAAGCCCTTTTATTAACTTATTTGGCAGAAAATGCTATTCGAACAGTAACAATTTGCATTTTTCTTTGTACAGTTATGATCACTTTCATGTCTGTATAGACGTGTACGTGTGATCACATATCTATCTCTAGCTAAAATGTTAATCGCTAAAACATCGCCCGATGAATCATTCTCTTTCACACATATATGTGTCCTTGAATTTTATTATTAACCTTTCCCTTGCCTCGCTGCGCCTTGATACAATTTGACTATAAATTTGCCTCTCTATTTGCTCTTAAACACACATTCGCCTCTCTGCTCCAAATTCGCACGGTGTGTTTATGACTTTTTTATCTGTACTATCCGCTAGTTAACTGTGGTCGCAGCTTCTTATTACCTTCTGACTTCAAACACTGTTGAAGATTAATATAATAACGGTCACTACAGATGGCAAGTTGGTGATAAATTCTATGACGTCCAATAATAGAATGGAAATGCCGATTTATTGTTCCTTAGTAGTTCAATAATTCACTGTCTAATCTTAAACAAACATATACATGTTATAATCATAATTACCATTAGTTTACTTACTTTTAATTGAGCTGCAGCAGCTAATTCTTCTTGTTGTGCATCCATTGTATTTTGACTTTTCAATTTAACTCCATCATTTTTCTGAACAATTTTGATTCCAAGTTGTTGTTCTAAGATTTCTTCATTACTGTGTTTAGATTTTTCTTTGCTAGTAACTTTTCCTGTTTCTATTTCATGGAGTAATTGGTCAGGTTTCCAATCTTTTGCACCAACATCCTCTTCATCATCTTCATTGACTAACTTTGAACGACTTTTTGTTGTTCTACCCAAAAATGTTCTAGCCATTTTATCTTTCACTAATTTAAAATACATACTCTCTGAATCACCTTCATATTGAAATGTGAATTGTGTTGCAATGAATAAAGCGAATGCAATAAAAACTGAATAGGTTGCAAAGCATACCATGTAATTTTTTTCACGATAACCAGGATGTAAACATGGATAGTCAGGAAAACTAGTAGAATGATCTAATATTAATCCAATGAAAAACATTGATAATGCCCAACCAATCGAACCGAATATACGTTGTTTTTCATAATTATTACAAAAATCTATTCCACTTTGTTGTAAAACTGCTGCATCAACAATTGGTATAGCAGCACATGACATAATTTCACTAAAAAGTACCAATAATAGGATTACAATGAATATTTGGTTGATTTTTGTTTGACCATAAACAACTGTGGAATAAAGAGGCATAACAAGACTTCCAGGTGGAAATTGGGTAGGATCATGATAGGCTTGTGTTCTTGCATAAAGATTTTGATCACCAGTCTGTTGTCCAACACCTGTACCCCAACGTGTCGCTTTCATTTTTGGTGGAGATACTAATAGTTTAGTGTTTAGATAAAGTGGTGATTGTCCTAATTGATTACGGATTTTCAACGCTAAATCTCTATCCATATCAACAGATTTAACATCATCATATCTTGATGCTTTGTAAGGTTGAATAATGCTCAAAATTAAACCATCTTCATCATCACTTGTTGAAGCATTATATCTTGTTGATTTTGGTAAACTTACTAAACAACCTTCTGGTGTTGGACGTACAAATCCTAACCCAAGTGTGAATGCCATGGCAAAGAATAAACTAACTAAAACAAACATCTTGCCTTTCTTCCATTTATCAGCTAATGCAGTCCAAAATGGTGCTGCAAAACACTCGACTAATGATCTTGTCCCACTTAGAATACCACATTGTAAAGCATTCAATCCAAGTTGTTTAAAATAGATTGATATAAGAGGAAAAAGTGAACCAAATGCAGCATAATATGAAAAGTAAAACAGTTGATATATTAATAAAGATCTATCGAAGAATGATCGAAACCATTCCATGAAATTTCTTCTTGATGCAAATATTGATGAAATACCTTGATGTTCTTGTTCGTTAGCATATTGTGTATCAATTGTAGTGAATTCATTCTTATTCATTTTTTTTTCTATAACCAACAAAAGTATTAAAGATAAATCAATTTAAGAAATTGTTATTATGACAACTGATAAATACAATGTTTTAGACAAATGAGTTATTTCAGGGTTACTATAAGGGACAGTAAATTTAAAACATTGAAATCATCATAAATAACAAGATTACATCACAGGTGATATAAGTTAGGTGTTAGTAGTAGTGATAATATTTATAATAAACGTTACTTACGTCCTTTTACAGGTGAAAGAGAACACAGGTGATGACAACTGAATTATAGGTAGCTCAACATTACAGAGTTCCTTGGTAAGATAGAAAAACCATACTTTAATACCCAATTTGCAAAGTGTTAAATAATTGTCTCGGACTTCATTGTTCTTGTATTTCTATACTAATTGCTTTCTATTCCCATCCTTCCTTTCTTGATCTTCCCAATCTTTTGCTGCAAGACATTATATATTCCTGAATTAAGTTATATACTACTTATATCAATATAAGTAGCACGCACAACAGTATTATTAGATTAATCGGAATTATATGTGTGATTTCTGAATAATATTCTCTATACCTAATCGTTTTTTAAATATTTACAATCACTGATATAGGTATCAATTCTACTTCCTTGGTATTTATCACGATGATTCCAAATAACTGTTGTGACTCGATGTACATATGTTTCAGGTTCTATATTACTTATTATTAACCTAATAGATAAACCGAAGAATGTTGGATAAAATGTCAATAAAATGTCAATAATTTTGTCCTGTACAGCTATCCTTATAGAATGAGTTAAACTTACATCAAAACATATAAGCAACTGAAATTGAAAGAATAAATCTTACATACTCTGACAATATACAATAGATTTTATTGTAAAGTTTTATAAGGAATTACAGTCAATCAGTCAGCTGCAACGTAGGACGAGGCACATACATGCATCGGTTCAAGTTGCCATACCTCATTAACACAACAGGATGGACACCGGATACATAAAAGTAGTTAGTTCGGTGGTGGTAATATATAAAAGAATGCATATAAGGATATAGTACAGGAAGAAAGAATTAGTACGTAGAAAGAAAGATATGAAGTGATTTTAATCTCATAGTTTAAGGAAAGACAGAGAGTGTATACACCGACGCCATTGTGATCGATCCTGAGCCATGTCACCAAGACTCTTCAACCATTGGTTACGATAGTTACGCGAACCCCAACCAAGTAGTCTGCATCTCCCAACATCTCCCAACAAAGAATCACAGTAAATGTTAATTGATCATACAACTTTGAATATACTGTCTTTCTACTAGTGATCACTTCTCAATATTATGATTATCAATAAAGATCTTTGTTTAAACTATGGTCTATTCAGTGATTAACATTGATCAAAAGAAATTGAACTAAATATATTTCTCCATATTTCAAGTGATTCTCTTATGATCAAGTTGTGAACTATTTAAACTTAAAGTAGAAGATGAAAAATACTGACATGGAAGTTTGTGTTACAAAGCTAGATTATACATAAATTTATATATATATCGAAGGCATAAAGTCAATGTACATGGATATAAGTAAATCTACAGCAAGATGTATCACTGAGTAATAATAATAATAATAATAATAAATATTTCACAGGTTGAAATCATGAGTCAGTTGAAGCTAGACCACCATTGAAAACCTGGAAGCACAGGACGGACGTTTCGTCCTGGTATGGGACTCCTCAGCAGTGCGCATCCACGATCCTGCACCTCGCGGGGCTCGAACCCAGGACCTACTGGCTTCGCGTGCGATCACTTAACCACTAGACCACTGAGCCGGCATCCAACGGTGTTAATGTCTAACTTCAACCAATCCACTGCCGAGGAGTCCCATACTAGGACGAAACGGCCGTCCAAGGCTTCCAGGTTTTCAATGGTGGTCTAGCTTCAACTGACTCATGATTTAAATCTGTGAAATTTCTTAAACTCTCCACAAAACCCATTCTGATAATAATAAATATCATTTTCAATAATTAACACTTACATTCAACTCTCTCTCTTCAATTCAAATTGTAGTTTGGCTCTATAATTTTGTGAATAAAAAAGAAAATTGTATTAAATGTAAAATTTTATAAATCATTTTTACTTTTATTCAATTCTCAAATGACCTTATTTATTGATTAATTAGATACTTCAAGTTATTTGAGGAAAGAATTTTTCTTGGAAAATTTCTCTACTCACTCATTCACTAAATTCTGATTGGTTAAAGTGTGTTCCTATCAAATATATAAATATGTATATTTTTTGTCTCATTAGACCTCACATTCTTTTCTGTCTATAATCCATACTATATATTCTAAGTTTTCTTTTTTAGGAGGGGGGGGGAAATGTTATTTTTATATTGATATTACATAATTGTATTACAGTTACATAGAAAAGAGTAAATGAAACATCAAAATAATGGAAATATCGAAAAGAAAACTATTCTACATATATGTATATTTATAATAGATAACATAGAAACAAGTGAGAGTGTTAAAACATCATTGATAGAAGATGAAAGAATAGTGAAAATCCCTATTTAACAATTGGGTATTCAGTCTAGTTTAACTAATAGTGTATTAAAGTAATAACATGAAAATGGTCATTTTGATACCTCAGTATTATTACTGTCTCTCTTACTAACATTTATTTAATGACCAGATTATAAACATAATTAAATTCTGTTGTAAGATAGCAACTCACTGAAGACAATGGATGATGTGTCGTTCAATTTCATGGATTGTTTGAAGTTATACATTAACACCGTTGGATGCCGGCTAGATCAGTGGTCTAGAGGTTCAGTGCTCGCACTCGAGACTGATAGGTACTGGGTTCGAATCTCGCGAGGCGGGATCAAGGATGAGCACTTCTGAAGAGTTCCACAATATGACGAAACGCTCGTCCAGTGCTTCCAAGTTTTCCATGGTGGTCTAGCTTCAATTGACTCATGATCTCAACCATTAAAATCACTGTAACATCCACAACAACCCTTTTTATATGAGAATTTGTTTCCTTAATAATTGAAATTAATTTGTTATTATTCTTTGAATGCTTTGTTTGAATTGGCTTACATATATATGAAGTATTAGTTATTAGATTTAAAAAAGGTCATTTGATGATAATATCATTGGATAATTATCTTAATTGTGATTTTACTAGTTAGATTGGCGAGATTATAATGTATGGACAGACCAATCAGATTTACGACAACAGATCTTGAATTTTTGACGCGGAATCAATTCATTCATTTGGTTAAGTAGAGTTTTGGTATTATAGCTGATGTCCGTTCGTCAGGAAATCCCTAATTCCGAACCCTAACTATCAACTGCAAATATTAATCCTTATTCTTCATACTGATTTATAACCCTCATTTAGCCGTAGTATGTAGGTGGACATTTTCAAGGTCTATTTCACATAGCTCAAAGGTCGTCAATAAATTATAGTCTCACCGTTAAATTTCCCCTATTCGGATAAAGAAATACTTAGTTACTCAGGGAGCATTATATCAAAACTCCTTAGCCAAGTATGATCCAATTTGTTCGCTCTTTGTATTAGTTACTATGGGGAAGTTTAGCTTTGTGATTAAATACTATATCAATGCAGTTTTATTTGTTTTATTGAACAATTATTGTTTTAATGCAGGTTATATTCACCTTGGAAATCATCCTCTGATTCCAATAGTTCAGTGAAATAATCTACATTTTAAAGATTAATAGTTGAAAATGTTTTTTCTTAAAGTTTCATTATTTAAGTATTTTCGGTTGATTTACATATATTGAAACGAAATTATAACATCTGCATTTCATTACAATTTGTGTTTAGTACAACATATTCGGGATAACCGGTTGTTTATCTAAAATAAATGCCAATTGAGTTCACATATAAGTAATTGTTACTCTTCGAAAAATGTTATATAGTTTTAGTTTAGGTAAAATAGTATACAATCATCCCATTTTTTGTTTCTAATTATAAAAGGTATTATTTTATGTTTAAAGCTGTGAACCATGAACGGTGAAACTGTTAGTGTAGTGTCGCTGATATGTTGCAATGTTTGATGTAATATAGTGTTGTGCAGTCTTCCACTGGTAAAACAGGATTGATTAGTTTTAGCGCATATTACGAACTGAATTATGTTAAAGACTCTATTAAAACAGAGAAGCACTGGACAGCTTATTCGTTTTCTCTCCTTCACCTCATTATCAGGTTGTCAATTTATCTAGATAATGTCAATCGCAATGTACCTATACGATAATGTAAACTTACCAGTGGCCACACTTAGTTGAAACTTGATTGTATTTTAGTTCGTTATATTAGTAAATGGACTTTTAAAAAATGAATGTGAAGTAGAATATTTAACTTAATGAGACTTATGTTGAATTAATAAGGAAAAGTAATAAATTTCGTTGTCAAAGTAGCACTATAGTCATCTTAAATTTGATTAATCTTGTTGCAATACACTTGGATATCATAACAAAATGCAACTTATTATGGTAACTGTTTTACTCAATATCACATGTCCTAAAAAGTAGACATTATTGTTTGGGGAGAAACATTTTTAGATTTATTTTGAAATCAATTGATAACTTTGTGGTGTTTGAATTGACTAATGATACTTTTGTACTTGTTGATTGTACGATTTCGAATTCCAAATACAGTACATTCGTTTGTGCTTGTGTCTTCTTAACTCAGTTCCGTTATTTCTTGGACTCTTAGTTCGTGCTATAATTCAAATAATTGGAAACATTATAAACTTGCGTAGATTAAGTTGTCAAAACAGCTCAATTAAAAGTCTCTGATAGACTGCATAGAATACTGCATATAAAACCAGTCCCTGTTCTTTATTCATTTTGAGAAATTGATTTGTTTATGCATTAGTACAGTGATTCCGGATCTTACATCAACATATATAAAATTATTAGTATATTAACATAATTCTACAGAACATTTGATCGTAGTGAATGATTGTAAGCCGGAAATGATATTATTATTCTAACCAAGAAATTAGTTAAATTAATAACAGAAAATATTATGAAAATAACTTACTTTCTGTTAGAATGCACATTCTTTGAAGTACAGTTATGGGACTTTAATACTGTCTGTGATGAAGATTCTAGCGATTATAAACCGTGATACTGTGTGCTAGATGGGTGGTTTCAATGCGGTTTCAATGGGTGAAGTTTATAATTTGAATCATTTGTCAGAGTAATTGAGATAGTTAACATGATTCATCATTCATATTTCTCATGTGGTTTAGTTTGCAATATTTTGAAAAGGATTTGAGATATTCTGCACTACTTTGTCAAGATCCTTTGGAACACGGCTGAAATGAACTGAGCTGTAAGATCCAGGAAATAATAGGAAAAAAGAGAGTGAACATATATTTTGAGATAAATTTCAACTACATTCCAATAATTTCTAGTCAATACTAAAACAATTAAGTGATAAAGGATGATTATAGATACTAGCTTTGACTAGATATATAGTTGGTTAAAGTATGGTATATAATAAGGTGATCAATATCGACTGACAATTTCAATACCATGAGAATATTTTGACTAAAAACGCTTATTTGATGGTGGAGAAATTGTCACTGTATACACCATATAAACTGTATTTTAAAAGAACCATGATTTGTGGTTGTACTTAACAAATATCTATGAATGTTTAGGAAGAGAAGAATGGTGTTTTTAGTTTGCTTTTCTGAAAAACTAGGTTGATTAGCTAAAAGTTGGCACCAAACATCTTAGTAATGTCAAAACTTTATAGCTCAATTATTAACTTACTTCCTTATTTCGTATAGACATTATACTTCTTATTATTTTACGTTGAATGTTGAAAAATCTGTGTTTGAAAAAGGTAACGTCTCACTACAGCTGTTCATCGAAATAAAGACCTACTCACAACAATGCCGGTTTCTTCTGTTGATAGAACGAGGGTACATGCTGCTGGGAAACGAACCCATATTTACGGTTTCGCTTATGGGTAATCATGGGATAGAAGCAGGAAAGCTAATGGATGCAACCAATGTGACAGCAAAACAGAAGTATCACTAATGCCAAAAACATGGACAAGTAAATTATACTGTCTCAAAGTTATATTTATCGATAGTAGAAAGACTGTTCAACCTGATCAGATGGTAGTCCAAATACCTAAACATAACATGGAAAGTAGTTCAAGGAAGGGATATATTCATAAGTCCTCCTATCTAAACAGGTTTCAACAATATCAGATGAGAAACTTGATGTAGGTCACTGCCAAGAATAAGGCAGATAATGACAGACATTTATCTTCCTTCTTTTTGTAACATAGTTTGTTCATACACTATTCCTCTTATTGAAGACGAGAAAAAATTCTTCAGCACAATTTTATCAATCACCAAACATAGTCACTTTCCATCTTTTAATCACAGAGTATACTGGTAGAGATTTATTTATGATCTTGCTGTTTTGTTCATATATCTAGCTATCCAGGAAATCTATATTACCAGTCACAAAAGGGTTATAGCCCTGTTCTAAAAACATGACAAAGATGAGTTTCTTATTACATAGATTGTTGGGTTAGTGCAATTCCACTGAGCTCGAGCCAAATCATCCTGCGGTCGGGCCATTAGATACCGGACAAATATTCGATCCTCGACAAGGTGAAGGACAACCAACGCGCATCAGTGAATCGTACGACATGGACTGGTCCGTGCGGCACTGGTCTCGCTTTCGCTTGTTCCTAGTTTAACTAATATATTTATGTGATAACGTCCTCTGTGATGTACAGTCTTCAAAGCATCTATGGTACCTTGATACGTCAGTGGGGTAGTCCACATAAGGTTTTCTGACCACGAGGTGTTACTTCGACATTAGCTCGTTCGTCACACAATTTCCGTCTAACTCGAGTAGGCTTCCGATCATTCGACAAAGATCACCTACGTTGGTGAGCTACAACATATATAATTTGTTGTTTATATCTGAGAACATTGAAAAATGAATAACAGATGGTTTACTCTGAGCCAACCCATTTTAGGTTGTTCACTTCTAATCTGGTTCCGACTAGATTTGAGATCCACAACCACAGAGTTGTTTTGGACAAAATTGTTGTTGAACCATGAGTATGCATGACATTAATGATGCCGCAGGTATTCGGAGTTTTACAACGTTTTTATGCGTAACATCTTTATAATCGAAATGTGCCATACCGTGAAATCAGAAGTTAAACCGAAAAAGTTCAAATATACATTTGAATAGCTTCCAATATATCTGAAAGTGTTTAATCAAAGCTAGCTTACGGTTGTAAGAGATGCGTAGCATGGCTTACCCTCACATATTTTGGTGCTGATGTATGACCAATCTTAATATACCCATTAAAACTAGTGTGGTCAGCATCAAGTGTCGAACACTTAAAGAACTGTTTATTTCAAGGATTTATTTACTGCTACATTATTTTTTGGTTTCACTTGGACGTGTTATTTCAAAAAGACGGTCAAAGATGTAAATACTAACAAGGCTTTTTGGACAACAGACGACCATATAATGACCAATTAAGAATTAATATACGAATCCATATCTATAATATTTTCTTTGTAAACAAAGCATCTTAGTTTTTTCCCACATCATTCACCAGGGCGTGACAGAACTATGAAAAAACCGTTAATAACAACAATAACAACGACAAACTCAAGATATCCGAAGGAGTGTGAGACTGAATGTACTAGGTCAAAGCTCGATAATGTTATCCCGAAGTAAACGAACTCAGTGATTGAAATTGTGACACAAATTTATATTCACTCACAAGCATGTATTTTCTGTTGCAAAACAGTGAGATTTATAAAATATACGTTACTGCATAATTTCTGCCGATCGTTGTTTAAGTGCTTATTTATTTAGTTAGAGCTAAGGAACGTTACAGCAAACATTTAAAGTTAACGTTACGCTGTTAATCTCACATTTAGTTAATCAGATTGTCTTATATTTACGGCTGTATTATTACAATTGTTGTTTGACTCCCTCATTGAGTGTTAATGAAATTCATGTATTTAATACAGTGATTGGAAGTGATATTCCCGAATATGCATCTGATTGTTAACTTTACGTTTCACAGTTCTAAGTAAGATTTTCGATAAGGTCTCCGACCTAGGTCTTAAATAAGGATCAGAAAGTTTTCCAATTCACTATAAAAATAGAGGCTAGACTTAGAATGTGGGATTCAACAAGCGAGTCCTCTTTTTAGGTATTAAGAGAATATGCATATTCGCTTAAGCGAATGTTAGAACGAGTTCACTTGTGACGTGAAAGAATAATAAAAAGCTTCATTGATCTGCCTTGTAAATACAAATCAAGACGCTGGAACCTCTTTTCGTTATCTTATCACATGTTGAGAGGTGATTTAATGCTGGCCTACCGCATACTAAACAATAATTTTACCCTCAAATGTTCTGATACGGCTGATAGTAAGAAGAGTCCTCTATTCCTGTGTGGATGCTCTCACGTGGCCTCGTGCATGAAACCACTTGCAGGAAAGTTCTTATCACCGCCTTCTCATAGCGGGGGTGTTGTTTTCAAAATTATGGTGACGAAACGAGAATGCCCAGCGCTTTAACCTGATTGATGAACACGGAGACTCCGTCTAGGATAGTTAGGAAACTCCGATTTTAAATCAATGGCCCCACACTGGCTTCAATATCCTAAGGGAACAGATTGCTTAATTACCTATCGTTAGTCACCGGCTGCCATAGGACCGCATATTTTGACGTTGCTCCACTGCCATGTAAATTGGACATTTAGGTCAAAGGTCTCAGACGTGGCGTTCTAAAAAAGCTACCCGCTTCATTTTAGGCGTCCGAGCAGTATCAAAGCTTTTGCACAAATCATTGACAACAACTACTGACCTCATTGTTATTGTTTGGCACATATGTATCTAGTGACCCCTTGTACTAATATTTATGTATCCAAATAAGTAAATAAATACTAGACGATGATTTTTGCCGTAATATGCATCGTCTTTTTGGCTCATATAGGACTGATCATCAGAGATGATTTTTTAGGAATGTTCAAAAATGGAGACCAAATTGTATGAAATCAAACAGCGTAGCTATTTAGTAGGACTTTTTACTGGAATACATAATATCATTCAAAGCAAGGTCTGTTCTTCACATTTCAATATATAATGAGGATTAATTGGGGTATTTTACCTTTTGTCTTCGCAACTGACTACTTAGTACTTCTCTCGTGTCTTTCATTCCCGGATATCCTTACTGTCACTGCTTTTCACGCTTTCGCAGCATCTAAAATACATTCAAGTTTGACCCAAATAACTGCAGGTTACAACACACGATATTGTACTCCTAATTTTATAGTTTTATCTTATCAGACTGTCTTAATCTCATAATTGAGTCACCATTAACTGTTGTCAATTACTCACATTTAGGAAATTGAATCCCATGTGTCACTTGGGTCCTAGAAATAAGACCTTCTGCATTTTTTTTTCAGGTACTGTTCTCCACTCGGAGTGTTCATTGAATTATTCAGAATACGCATGTGACATATTTCCACCCTGTGAAGATGCTGACAAAGCGTAACAATACTAGTATTGTATCCCTCTAAACTCAAAATGTTACTGCAAGACATGTCTGTTTTGACACTCCAACTTAAGATAAAACGTGAAGCGCCTACTTGAGTCAACTACTCTATTTTCCTTAAATGTTTTAATCCTGTTGGGTTTGTGCCTGACAAAATATATTTATAGACTCAAAAAGATCAATTTGTATTGCTTAATGTTTGTCACATGTGGCATAGGTGAGATTTTCGTTCACTGATTAGAAGTCGTGCATAATTCACAGTAAATCACTCTACATCGATCTGTGGCTGTAAATCACAGTCTGCAAATGTTGAAAACGGGCACAAAAGTTCGATTTTTGATCGGCGATGGCTTAGAAATATTTCTTTGAACAATGTTGAGACCAGGCATAAGATAACCGGTGAATATAGAAAATAGACTGATGAAGGCGAAGTGCGCTTGACTACCTACTTTGATAAATGACACCTGTTTAAAAGTACTTTGGAGGTAAACTGGGGGCATCCAAAAGAAACGTTGCATCAATCATTAGGTCACTGACTGGTGAACTGCGCGACGTAGTTGGGTGCAGACTGTCTAGTTCGGGTTTTTGTGACAAGCGCGGTCAATGGTTGAAGGCTTTGGGCGATATATATGAGAATCATTTAAAATGGCTCAGATCCATTCACTAATTATCTGTCTATTGATCTTGAATTCCGATTTCACTTTGTTCAAACATCTCCACTCTGTCTTTTCAAACCAAACTTTCAAGGTTTTCACTCTGTTGTATATAATTAATACTATGTCGTTTCGGTTTCGTTTGTTGTTCTCATCTCGTTGTACTAATTAAGTATAAAGACTTATTTTAATCACAGACCTTGTGTTAATAATTTCTGTCTTCCCGTTTCTAAATTAATTTATGAACTGCCATGCACGTTCAAAAAATGCTAAATGTACTATCTGGTTAGATCCGAACGGTTACATGTACCTCTAATTGAAGAATTTATTACCAAGGAAACTACAGGGATGCGACTGAGTTGAGCATCGCGTGCTTTCAAATCTTTCACATACTATTTCCAGTTTTATTATCCGTGTCTGTTCTAAATTATATATTATATGGTTACTGATTTAATAATAAACTAACACGCAAATTTCTTTGCTTTCATATCCCTTGTTTTATTTGCTTTTGTATTTTTCAGATCTTTGGCAGTCCGAATGGTCATTCCTTACTTAGCCTAAATAAATTATCAATGAAATTCTTATTGTAACTTCATGGTCAAATACTAGTCATACATGTGATAATTTCTGGACGTTGCTTTAGAAACATGAATGAACAAAATCCTGTTTGTTTACTGCAGAAGCCCTCCAAAAACCGTTCACAAGTCATCTCATATCAGCTATCAAAGATATTTAAAAATTTGTATCAATTTTCGGCCTTAGATGATGATATAATCTCATACTTGCAGGCTGCGAAAGACAGTGATGATGCGAAACATTCATTGTATATAAAAGAAATTGATAAGGTGGGGAATCTTATAAACACTCAATATTTTTAGGTTTTGGAAAGGCATAAAGATGTTATTGATGGAGTGAACACTGCAGAATCGCGAATTAGGGATTATAGTTTGAGTAAACCTTTATTTCATAACTCAGAAAACGAATCGCCAAGACCAGTACTTACTAATTTGCTAAGCTTTGATGAAGTGGATGGTTTGCAAAAGATTTTCTCTCACTGGGAGTAGACTCATTTTTAGGTGACCTTGGCCTTTTGACGAAGGAGGATATTTATTTCAATGGAAAACCAAGAAGCCATGGTAAGATGGTTTATGTATGAGTAATTTTGTCCATTTTGATATGTTAAGTGTCTACACGTGTCAACTTTATTATGTTTCTATTTGACATGATAAGAAACTCGATAATTTGTCAGCTTTTTCTCAATTTACTGGTCCATCACTATTTAAAGTAACATAACAGATATTTTGTGTGTTCTTAAAATGTTTAATTGATCTACTAATCTAAATCACCCCAAAAGAAAAAATAAAGTGGATAAAAGATTGATAGTTTCTTTAGAGTAAGAAATAGTAGTCACATGACTGGACACCATAATCAGAAACCTACTGAATAATGAACAATGTTTCATATCATTTGAATAACATTCTTTCATAATGTAATATTACCACTACTATTCTTCATATAGCATTTCATTTTAAAGTTTAGACTGTGTTACTAAATTTTATAAGAGCATTCGGTCTTGGTAGTTGTTATAGCAGATAAGGCTAGTATTTAGTGAAATCATATTGGCGCATATTCGTTTGAAGGTTAGGAGGGCTGTGAAGTTAAAACATTATGTTGAATAAATGAAATAAACGTTGCTTATACGTTCGGTAAAGAAAATATTATCAAGAAGGTAGATAGGATGGTCTTTAATGTAAAAATCATTCACCGATAAATACAAACACTACGGTGTACCAAGACATTATTAGATCTAGCATAAATCTGTAATAATGAATACGTTATTTAAAAAGTGTCTGCTAAACTTCAAGCATGTTCTTTTATTCTGTATATGCGTGCAAATTCATTTTCCTTTGGACAGATAAGAAGCTTATGAAATAAACATATCATTGTAATTCTATTAAATACTTTACATTAACCAGGAAGATTATTCAACTATTTGCATTTCCGAGTGCCTGCCTGTACATTGTATATTGTTATCTATTGCCTAACAAGTTCCCTTTCTACTTGCTTGTATTTCACACTTTGTCCATTTTATATAGAATCTGTATCAGGCTTAAGTGAATGGATTTTACCGAAGCCATTTTTGTTCACCCGGATAGTTGTCTATCGCTTGATCTATAATCTTACAGGTTCTTCAATGACACCATTGTACAAGTAGGGATAGTCAAAATATAATATATGGAACTAAATGTAGAATATACATTTCAGTAGGAATCAAACGTGATACTAGGCACTAATCGAGTTAAGGTGTCTGTTATATGAATGAAATGTTACGGTATTAACAATATGCCCAACTTAATCAAAGCTTTGAACGCATATAGCTTTATGTTTATAATAGCCTTATTTCACGTGGTCCTGGACGTTAAAACCAGCCACTGAAGAATGTACGATTTTCTCTTCTTATTCGTCAGTAAAATTGTCATACGTATGTTTTTCATCTTAATCAGTACATAGTTTGTACTCTGGTCGCTCAAGTTTTGAAGATTATGGGAAGTAATAAATTCTGAAAATCCTTATGTTTGACTTTTAATTTTGCACTGACTGACAAAGGCAGATTATAAGTGTGTAGAGTCGTATTTATTATAAGTCGCGGTTGACTATGAACACCGCTACCAAGCAACTCTTGCCAAATGACTCCACAAAATCCCCGAGAAGTCAAATATCAGAAGGCAGTTAATGGACCAAGTCGAGATATATTTGCTGGCGATCTCGTGGTATCGAAAGGATACCAAGATCGTATCAGGATACAAGCTTGGTTACAGAACGTAACCGAATTCGCGCCAAATCACAATCAAAGTGTAAGAATAATGGATGTTTTTAGCACAGTTAAACAAAAGCACATTAAAACAGTCACTGGTACAATTGGTTATAATAATAATTGTTTTCAATAAACCAATCGTGTTCTCGTGATAAAAGTGAGTCACTACAAGTGTTTGGAATGCTAAGTTTCATAACGTAATACCAGATGTTAAATATTTGAAATTCAACCACTCAATAGTGTCTAACATCAGTCATTACACAACGTAGACGCGAAATGTTTTTACTTTTATTGAAAATTTCATGAACGAGTGTAGATTTATCGTTTTTAATAGCCTACTTTTTGAGTCGTATTGTGAGCTGAGTTTCAGAAATTTAACTCCAAGTACTTAATCGTTAGATCACAAGTTGCCATAGGGTAAAGAAGAGTTATCAATCATAAATAAATAATGTTATCATTACAAAAACCACTTTTATTCACATTTATATTCATTTCATTATTGAGTGGGTTATATACACGCGATCGAAAAAAAATAACTTAAGATAATGAAGGATTGATGTCTAATATCTTGTCTGTATACCAAAATTTAGGTATTTTCCCGAAGGCTTCAGTACACAAAATTCGTATCATGTGATATCTGACTACTATCCAAGCATTAAATGACTATTGGTGTTATCTTGGTTATGGCATTTATTTTTCACAGAATGCTTTAGAAATCAGCTAGGATACTGCTTGTCTGTTTGAAAGAGGAAAAATAAGATTAACTATTCCGGGTTGTTAAAATACAACACTATCAAGAATGAAATAACATAGTTAATTTCAGGTAGAAGAATAAAATCAAATTGATAATTACTTTAACAATATCATATTCATAGATTTTGCACTGTATTTATAAAATTGTTACTTCAGATGTATAAAATTTACAAAAAAAATGTGATCGACACCTTTCTATGTGATATGTTTATTGTTTCTATCAACCTTATGCAGGTTTTCCAGTTGTAAAAAGTTCTAAAAATTATGAAGACGCTGAGAATGTTGATATTCTACCAGCAATCAAATCAGTCGTAACATCTAGAGGAAAAACCGATCAACTCAAAAAGTTTAATCCTAAGAGTTGTTTAAAAAATGATGATGTAAGTTATATACTTTCTAAAACTGAATAATTATGTATATCGTTTTGGTGCAACTACACATTTTTGTAGTCCTATTAAATTAATTTTTAGGTTGTTGAGTTATGTTTGGTGTAAAATCTGGTAATGCTAGAGGCAGTTTAAATCATTGAATACTTACTTTAATGTCTATTATATATTTCGTTATTTACAAACCATTAGATATTTTTATCATTATAGAAGTACCTTGATTCTTAGTACTATGATCTCCATCCGCTGTTCCGTATGTTTTTATTCAATACGGTCTGTAAACATTTGGAATGGGCTTTGTGACTAGTAGTCTTTAATTTACTATAGTTGCCATGTCCTATATGTTAAAGCAGCGTCTAGTTATTGCTACCTGAAACTGGATTTATTCAAGTTGACCAACTTGGAGATTGTCACTTTAACTCATTTTTTCAAATGATGATAAAAATGTATAAAAATGTACTATCATCTCATCACCATTTTCCATTTAATATTAAATCTCTATAGTTTTGGTCGTTTTGTGCTTCCAGTAGCATTTAAACAATTTCCACAACCCCATATTGATAATTATTATATGCTCACCAGTGACTAGTTTCGAGGGAAAATCTCAAAGTTCTATTGAGAAGTCATGAGTAGTGAGCTCAACGGTATCGAGTATGAAGAAGGTACTCACCGAAGTTAGATATGTATACCATGGGACGCCAGGTTAGTTGTTTAGGAGTTAGGCGTTTCCGTCAAGATCGAAGGTCTTCGCTTCTATGCCCTGTGGAGGTGGCGTAAATGCGAAATGTTCGAGAGCCCCATTCAAGAATGGAATGTTTGTCCATTGTTTCCTGGTTTTCAGCGGTATTTTTTTACTCAGATCAGTTCATGATCTCCATACCATTCACCAATCTTCACAACGTCTATACTCCGTTTTTCTGTTTGAACTACTCAGGTATCATACTGCTCACTGCATCATTCACATAAATTTCACTTACTGAAGCTTTTAATATGATAAAGTAATAGAAAACTTTGATGTTGCATCTTTTGTATGGAGATTTAGTTAGAAGTGCATTAAAGTTCATACATTCTCCCGATCGTGATTTTATTATGACCCTAATACCTAACCTATTAACATTTGTTCTTACCTACAAAACATCCCTTTAAATGATTGTTTCTTACTTAAAGCAATTCGACTACTATCTCAAACTACAGTCTGTCTACTTCAATCCGATTATTTAGACGGTATATCTGTAATTTCTACATAAACTTCAGGTTGAAGTGAAAGATACGACTTTTTATTCAGTCATTGAGCCGCGTTATTTTCATTACAATATTATTACCAGTGTAAAACAATGTGAAGTTAAAACAAGAGTTTGTTTTACAGATAATATCAGACATAAATTTAATACCTCCTACAAGACAACTAATTCCATTTGGAAAAAGAACAAAAGAAAATAGATCGTTATTCCAAGCTGAACCCGAATCAATTATTTTTAGGTCATATCTAACAGGAAATATGTATGAGGTAATATTTTGTGTAACTATTAATTGATCAATTGTAATACAGGCTATTGTTAAAATACGCAATATTTCTGACAGTAGTCGACCAATTCGAATTCTCCCACCAAAAACAACATATTTTTCAATTAATGAGGGTAAGTATGTACTAAATGAAAATGATTTATTTTATGTACTACTTAAAGTTTGACTGTTAGTCAGATTGTATGACATGACTGTTGTTTCTCATACAAGTATTTTATGAAATGTAAAGGTGTTTTCATAACAGGAAATAATTTCCGTTTAGATATCACTGTGATTTACTGATGACTATACAGTATCGGACTTGGCATTCACCGTCATTTATAACATCAAACTGAAATTTCCGAAAGGTGTACGCATATACTTTTACTTAAAAGAAGCGTTGATGGTATTTAAACAATCTATGGGCATTTTTAATTTCTTATAAAGTATATTTTAACGAGTAACAATACATAGCATGTTTTGCCATGTTATTAGCTACCATAATCCAATACCTACTTACGTACACCTGCTACCCAACGCATTGTGTTCTTTGGCCTTCCTCTCTTCCATTCCCCTTCAGGATTCCAAGTTAGCACTTGCTTTATGATAGAGTTTGTTATTTTCCTCAACATATGTCCTATTCACATCTAACGTATTTCCTTAATTTCCTTTAGAGCTTGAAGCTGGTTCGTTCTCTCTCACAGTAGGCTGTTGCTAATGGTATCCAACCAACGGGCACTGAAGTAGAGGCTTCTGCTACACTAGTTGTCTTGGCCTGCATTTATTGGTGTGTATAGGATAGAAAGGTTAGGTCACTCGCGAAGTCCGAATCGTCTAGTTGTATGCAAGCTATCCAGTGTACTTATCAGCTCCCTTCATATGTGGATGCTTTCATAATCCAATCAACCAACAGAAGAAAAAAAACGGGGAGGGCAAGCTACCTTGTCTTACTCTGATGCTCACATGGAATTCATCTGTGAGCTGTCCTCTATGCACGACTTTACATTGTAGTCCGTCGTACGAATTCTATATGATATTGACGATCTCACATACACCATGGCATTGAAGAACGTCCCATAAGGTTCTCCTATCCACACTGTCAAGTGATTTCTCATTATCAAGGAAGTTGATGTATAGTGATGAGTTCCATTCAGTTGATTGTTCAACGATGATTCGTAGTGTGGCGATTTTGTCTGTGCACATCCGATCCTCACGAAAGCCGTCCTGTTGATTTCGAAGTTGGGTGTCTACTGAATCTTTCATCTGGAACATAATCCATATAATTCCTAGAAACAATTATATTTGTCAATTAGATTAAATTAAAATGAAGTCATTTTTAATGCTAAACAGAACTAACCTAAATTCAGTTTCGTTTTCAGTTTTAAGTAAGTAGTTACGATTGCCTTTTAAAATTCTAAACAGATAACTTTAACCATTTTAACTAAATTTTACCTGAAGAGTAGTTAAGTTTTTTGTGAGTAGTGAAGCAAGAAACAAATATGCAGAATAACCTATATTCATGCATGACTAGATATCAACTATAATACTTATTGTTAACATTGTGAAAGTGAGTCTATGAACAAAATATTACATAATAAAAATCTTCGGTAAAGATAAAAATGATTATCCGTTACTTAATTAATAAAAAGAATTAGTGGGGCAAAGGATATGAGGTTTGTTGACCAATCACTCTTTCAAGAATAACATGCTATATAAAATTTGATTTAGCTTAATCATTTCCAGAGTCTAGAGCTATTCGTCTGCTGAAGTTTGATGAATTTACTATTTTTGTCAAAATGTCACTTAGTATGTGTAAAAATATATCATAGATGGTAATTATAAATGTATTTTACAAGTTGGATGTAATAATTTGTATGTTGATTGTAGATGATCAACAGTTAGCTATGGATCTAAGTATTCTGGTAGTTGGTGCAGTCGGACATATCATAACTAGGTTATTCAGATAGTTACTGACCTTCTATACAACTCAGATATTTCCATTTGTTGATTGCTTAAAGATAACTACTACCTTATTGTCTAGTTTGCCGTAGCGTTTAATAATAGTGTTTGTTTGTTTTGTAAAAACCAATAGGTAAATTTCCACGACCAGGTAGTAGTATTATTGCACCGGGAATGGCAGCAGTATTTCTAGTACAATTTTGTCCAGATAATGTTGGTGATTTCGAAGATGAATTTATAGTTAAATATGAAAATCAACTAGAACCACTTTGTGTTAAACTGTTGGGACAAAAATCACGACCACAACTTAATAGTAAGTTTTCTTGCTATTATCATTACAAGCAATAACTTAATTTGTCTTTTTTTGTTGAAATTGTGTTCTCAAACCTACCTGCTTTAACCATATATAGCTTTCATTGTATTTCTAGACAATATCATCAGCAAAACTAAAGAAATAAGTGAGCTTTGTGGATTTTTCTTCGATTGACTAACAGCTAGTTCAGTCCATCTTGAACACGATTAATTGTTTTTAACGCTTTTCTTTTCATTAACTGAACGTTTATTTTGATTGGGTTTCCTCTGAATGTAACTCATGGCCGTACAGTTGATTATATTTTTTTTCTGATAAGTTGACAAGTTGAGTTGGTCTGCGTCAACACCTGAACTAAGGATAGAGAGTGAAGTAGTCGAACGCGTCGATAACTTCACTTATCTTATAAGTCTGATCAGTCCTAATGGGTTGGTGTCTGACGAAATCTTAGCACGGATTTGAAAAGCTTGCTTGGCTTTTGCCAGCTTACGTTACCTGTGGCGAAGGCGAGATATCCGTCTATCAATAAAAGAACGAGTATACTGCACGGCAGTTCGTTTTGTCCTACTTTCCGGCTGCGAAACATGGCCATTAAGAGTAGAAAGTACTCGTAAGCTACTATTATTTGACCACAGATGCCTTAGAAATATTGCTGGCGTCTGCTGGGATAATCGGGTAAGTAATAGTGAGGTTAGACGCAGGGTATTAGGGAATGATGGTAGATCAGTTGATGAAGTTGTGAATCTTCATCGACTGAAATGGTTGGGCCACGTGTTACGTGTGCCTAAACACCTATTACCACGACTCGAAATGCTGACTGTTGGGGATAGTTGAAGAAAGTTAGGGGCGGCCGAACCATAACGTGTCATCAGTGCTTAAAACTACTAATTTCTGGTCTGAGCCATGTTGGTAGATGCAGACTACTTGGTTGGGGTCCTTGTGGCTATCGTAACCAGTGGTTGAAGACTCTTGGTGACATGGCTTAGAATCGATCACAATGGCGTCGGTGTATACACTCCCTATCTTCCCTTAATCTAAGAGATTAAAATCGCTTCATATCTTTCTTTCTACGAACTAATTCTTTCTTCCTGTACTATATTCTTATTGCAATCTTTCCTTTATATATTACCACCTCTGAGTTAACTACTTTTATGAATCCGGTGCCCATCTTGTTGTGTTAATCAGTTATGGCAACTTGGACCGATGCATATATGTGCCTGGTCCTACATTGTGGCTGACTGACTGAATTTGAATGGTAAGGTTCAAGAAATTCTCTAGTACCCATTTAGCTGACTTATTCAAGATTTTCACTTTTTCCCAATCGAACGTTTATCCTCAGTCGTCTATACATATTAATGACTAGTTGATATTCATACAAATGAAGATGAAAAAAAGGCAACTATTTAGTCTGATTTGATGTTTTTTACAATCGAAACAATTTATTTTGCATATGATATTTGGCTTTCATTCTTTTGTTATTCAATCTTACAGTTTGATTTTTATGAACTGATTGAATTGTGTTAACTAATGGATTAGTAACAACAATTGATTGATCACTGGGTTATGATCAATGTCATGTATGTTAGGTCCTTCCTTAGAGCAGACCGAATCCTATCGAATAAGCGTTAGTAAAAAGCCTAAACGATTCTACGTTTATTTCTATATAAAATCAAAGTAATTAATGAATTTAAACGTTGAAATTGAATTAGACTAATTATAAATTAACATCATAATATCTAGTTTGATTAAAATAATCTTTAAAAATATCATTGAATTGTTTTTGTTCAAAGATAATCTAGTGATATCAAACTTAAAGGCTTTAACTAGCGATATTAATCATAGGGTTAAGATTCCAATTTTTTAGTTAGAAGATTCTGTCAGATTTATTTAATGTCAATAAGGCTAAACCGTTTCTTACTTCTTGGTCGATCCTGACGATAAATATTGAGTGATCGTCAGTTAGAAGTTAGCAGTCCATTCAATGGATATCTGAATAATGTATATTCTTTTCGATGCATATTACCAGCAAGCACGATATATCTGATTGGGCCTTATGTAACATATACAACAAAAGATTGTACACTTCTCAGAAACGAACCTGAATTGGTTATGCAAGTAATAGCCATATTGCTGTATTAAAACAAAATTAAACAACATGTTTGAAATATCTAGATGGTAGGAGCAGGTAGCCTAGATGTTAATGTGGGCCACCAATATTTATTAAATAAATGAATTGAAAAAAGGATTTCAAAGGGAATCCGATTGTTTACACGACGAACCGACCTTAGTTAGATAAACATTTAATGTCAGGAAGATAAATTTATTTCCTAGTATAAAGATCGGACATGTAACCTAATTCTAAATAAAGTGAATGCCTAAGATCATGTCCAAAATGGCAATCAAATCTTCGTAATTAAACTACGTAGTTTAGAGAACACAATATCATCAAAAGCATTTGTGAATGTTATTTTATATAAACGATTAGCGTTAGAAGCTATTTTAAGCCTATAAAATATGATTATATGTATATATATCCATGACCATAATGAGTAACCACAGGTCACTAGACCTGTATGGCTTGTTCAACCATTATTATTAACTGATGATAAACTACTGAATTTCTCCGAATTTTTTTCTTACAATGTTTCATCAATTGAAGTACTTGATTGTTATGATTTGGGTTATGCATTAAAGGGTGGTGCAAGAGTAAACACTATTCAACTAAAGAACTGTAATGCAGAGATTGCGTCTAACAGTAAATTCCTTTTTATTACACAAGAGGCATTTAGTGAATGTCAACAGTATGATGCAAATAATTTCACAGTAAGTGAATTGTCTTCATTTATTTTTGATGAAATAAATTTAACAAGTTAACTATTATTAGCTAACATGCGCTTGTTAATGCCATTTCACACTGTAATGTATTGTACAGTTAGCTTTTTTCATATCATTGATGTCATACTTATCACTTAATCAGGTTTTGTTATGAATTAAGATTTTGTGATTTGATCAACACATTTCCAGTTTCTGAAATAAGTTAACAGAATCCCTATTGATAAATGAAATACAATGATATAATATGGCTGATTGGCGGCTGTTTATGAGATCGAACTTTAGACTATTGGATAGAAGAATAAGTCTTTTTCTATTATAAAATGAAATGTTTACATACAAAATTCTAATAGAAACATGAATATGACTAAATGTTATGGGTTTTGAAGGATATCCAACTTGCGGATCACTCTCATTTCAAACAATTAAGACTTAGACGATTACATTAGATACATATTAATAACAAAAATGTACGAAATCTTACTTAAAATGCAATTTTTATGATTGTTTATCAGTAAAAATAGCCAAATTTAAAAGTATTTTACGTAAAGAATAAACAGTGAGAGAACCATAAAATCTTTTTAGTTCTACCCTAATATGTCAAAGAACAGTCTTAACAATAAAAACCGAAAAGCATTAATCACTATTTAAGACATGTAAACAGATTGACACATCAAGATGAATTTTCGCACAGAAATGCAACTTTTAATTGAGTTTTGTACAAAAGTAGTAAATTGTTTGTTTAATGCAGTCAGTTAATTACTTAACGACCGAGTAATGTAGCATAATAGCATTCATAATTATCCAAAAACAGGAGGTTAGTCACGGCTCGGATAGCTCAGTGGTAACGTCTCTGATTGACACGAGATCGAATCCGTCAGGGCGCTCCAGTTCCCTCAAGATTATTGGTACACCTTGCTGACGAGTGCCAAGTAACACGAAACCCGGGTCCAGGGTTTCCTGTTGACTACCTCCAACCACCATCTAAAAACAATCTTGACCGTTGGAAGATAACTTGATCTAACTGAAGTAGGAACGTTAAATACTGTAACTAATGAATTGTAACAAAACAGAAATAAGAGTTATATAATGTTATGGTGCTTGTCAGGAAACCTGGGGGTCCTCAGTACGATCATATATATATCACAAGAATTTAAGTATTAAGTTAATTAGGAACGCTTGGGCTTATCCAATTATCTTAAAACTTTTATGTTGATTGTTTGAAACTGATCATCTTATACATACTACTTATAAGTCTCGTAATATATTTGAAATTTCGGTACACACAACTTTCATCGTTACTTTGAACACTTTCTATTTAATTTAAAGTGAATTATTTACACCAGCTGATGAAATATAATTGATGCGTTAGAAACCTTAATAACTGTTTAGATATCTTATTATATGGCCATTATTATTCATACGGAAGCACATCGAAAGAAAATAATGAATCCATTTTTGTATTGTTTGTTTGAATCTTCCGATTGATGATTAGAACTATAACTGATTAGTCACTTGTTATCATATATCGATGCAATCCGCACAGGATGCACATATGCCGATAAGAGACTGATCAAAGGAAGTTCTATACACCAATGAGAAGATTCAAACAAACAATACAAAAATAAATTATAACCTAAGCTAAGTGGGTAACGCGATGGCGTTTGAAACGAACAGTATTGGGTTGGAGTTTCGGAGTAAACATAAACTCTGGGATGCAGGTACATTCAGTTGATGATTCGCAGATAAGACGAAACGCGCGTCCTCGATTCCACTGCTAGCTACCAGCCATCTCTGCTTAGAAAATAACTATCAGTTTCTGTTAAAACATACCTCAAAATTAATCGTAGTAGTGGTCTATATGTTGTAAGAAAACGTAGCTGAATGACTGGATTTGAATACATATTTAAACTTGACAATGTAAAAGCTGAAGCGTTTCAATAACCAACACCAACAACTTTGTAAATTTTGTTTGGAGCACTTTATTAGTTAATAGCAAGAAAATGTTTTTCTTCAATATTTTGCTTTTTGATAGGAATTTTACTCATTGCATGTGAATTCCTCTTCAACTAGTTTATGCTTGGAATCATTTTCTCTCAAACCAGTCAATTTTAATTTGGAATCATTGCAATCGATCACAATAACAGTAGAGTTTAAACCATTGTGTGTAGCAGAATATAAATGGGAACTTGTATTGATTTCTGATAATGGTCAATATTTTCCGGTGACCTTCAAAGGTAGTTACTTATTATTGACTGTCATTTTAAGATTTTATGTTTCAAATAGCCAACTTGTAGAATTTATTTCGGTTTGAAGATAAGCTTAAACATAGATTGACGTTAGTTGCGCCGGTGGAATGCTACATCATCATCTCGAGACTGAATCAATTACTTCAAATCACGGAGTATGAGTCCTTTTAATCATATTCTCAACATTAGTTCATTTGTGTATAGTCAGAAAGATAATACATTAATTGAAAGACCTGGCGCGATTTTGTTTTAGCTGGATAGGTCATAAATTCACACTGTTCAGGAATATTAAACTAAGATCAATAAAAATGACTTAATCTTACTCATTGATCTCAGTGAACATCATAGTATAATAGGTAAAATCATATGAAATTTGTGACAGGACGTTTGAGAGACTTAGTAATCACTTTACTATGTGGTCGTGAATATCTCATATCTAAATCATTTAATAAGTTAATATTGCGGCAATCGATTTTACTTCATAAAATGATATTAAAAGCAGAACTATAGAACAGAAGTCAACATTCAGTCACAATTGACGTAGAACCTAGCATATGCTTACACCGATTCAAACTGATAGTCCCCTTGCAGTCAATGAAATTATCAAGATAAATACAAAATTTGAAGAAATAATGACAGTATATGTTGTGACAAGAAAAATCCCGTATAGACAATATGTTTTTAGAAAAAAAATAAACACTCTACTTCTTAATTCCAAGGTCTTACGAGTGACAAAGAATGGATGCATTCAAGTCATTGTGACCGATTTCGAGCCATGTTCAAACAGTCTCTAAACAATGGTTACAATAATCCGGATGACATCAAGGTATACTGCCTCTACCAAAGTAACTTCTCTCCTGGATTTCATGTAATCTTTCATTAAATCAGCAAGCATCATGCGCTAAAATAGGTTGCGGTTTGACACTATCTGTACATATACTTCGCTTCAATTTGAGTTCACTTAATAATAAACACTCAAACAAATATATTTAACTGTTCGTATTAAAAATGTACTCGTTTTAAAAACAAACAACCTTTTCCTTCATTTTTTCGATTATATTATTCATGAAATAATTTAGGTAGAGGGGAAGAACCTCAATTACAGATAATCGATATTACTGATCAGAATCAATTATCTACTTTAAATAAATCGTCAACTAATTTTAGAAAAGTTGATACTATTTCAAATGATCAATTTTATTTCTATCAATTTCCAAAACATTATCCTCATACTATTTCACCAAAAACAATGACAATAAGAAATTGTTGGTAAGTAAAAAATTGTTTATGATGTTTTAAAATGAATTTTCTATGCCTAATATCAGTATAGAGTTGTGGAAATTGTTAAGTTTTTGATTGAGATTATGAATCAGGCGATGTTAGACCACTACTGAAAATCTGCAATTACTGAACGGCCGTCTCGTCCCAGTATGAAACTCCTCTGCAGTGCGCATCCATGATCACGCACCCAGAACCTTCAATCTCGCGCGTGAACGCTTTTACACCCAATATAATTGATTCTGTCACTAATTCTGTTAATTTGGTATTTATTGTGAAATTCTTGCCCAGTAATACCACTGAACTGTAGTAACTTGAATAAGCTCACATATATCCCCGACCAACGAGACTGAGTGTATGTAGGTAGTAAGAGCAAACTGATGAGATGCGCAGAAATAGGACAAAACAAATGTGTTTCGTTATTTCCACTTAATTTTCAAATGATGTTGATTCCTTGCATTAAACTATCTACTGTTGATAGTTACGTAAAGTCAGTCCTATTTACTACTCATTACTTATTATTCAGCGGTTGATAGCAAAATTTGTAGGATCAATTCACTTCTCTCTATACGTTTAATATGAAATACATAGCTAATATTGTTAAGCATATATAAAAATTAGTTAATTGACATAGTGGTTCCTAATGACTGTTGACTAATATATCAACTCGTTTAGTAAAACAAAAAATTCAAAATTACATTTTAATTGTTCAAACTTAACTAATTACCTTAATAAACAATTTGTCATTTCAATTCACTTGGTGTTGTTTTACTTGAATCTCCCATTGTTATTTAGGACCACGATTGATCGGTCTCATGTTGGCATATTTGCATCCTGTGCGGATCGCCTCGATAAAGCCTCAATTACAGTCCTAAATAGCAATGAGAGAATACAAGTACAACAACACCAAGTGAATTTAAACTTCACCCCATTGTACAAGCAGGTGGCTATCAGGACTCAGTAGACAAGTGGATAACGCGATGGCGTTTGAAGCGAGCTGTACTGAGTTCGAGTATCGGAGTGAACATTAACTCTGAGATGCAAGTACATCCAGCTAACGAGTCCCATTGCTAGCCACTATCCAATTTATCATCTCATTAGTTGCGAATTAATTGCAAGTATCAATCAATGTCTGAGATACTTTTCGATATTATATCTTATTCTGTTCAAACTTCAGCCGACCTTCCGTAGGACTGGAGTATTTACATAAGTTTTTCATAAGTTTAATAATACATTTATTAATTTTTATGATCTGTAAGTGATTTAATAGCTGAAATTTGTATATTTTATACAAACAATCCTAAAAAAAGATGAACAGCGTTGATATTAAGGCTTGCATTCTATTGCCTATTAAGTTATAGTAAGAAATGTTTAGCGGAAAATATAAAACATCAGCTAAGTTGAATGATGTGATTTGAAAAAAGAATTAATCATGAAAGTCACCTATGCAACAGTGATCATTTATCGTGTATGTTCAATTGCAAATCTTTTTTAGTCAGTTCTATCCTTATTATTATGTTTTTTGAGAGCGTTTAATCATAACTAGTTAGCATTCTAACTCTAACACATCCACTGTGTTCTAACTTTCAACTCTATATATACTACTGGCATAATCTCATGAATTGATGATAGGTGTAGGTTGTCATTCTAAAAAGAAATGTTGATAGACTTTAAAAAAACTGCGTTGATTATGACTTAGGTAATGTATCCCTAACCACCTCCTACTCTTATATTTAATATTGTCTAGTGTAAGAGTAAAGTTGATCTAAGTTATCATCATTATAGAATACTTAACCTATTCATTTTAAACGACAACAAAACTCTTGTCTATTATTGCATGATTTCTTGTGTTCACTTAATTTGACTGCTGTTGTAAAACTCACATTCAAATAACTAAAATTTCAAAACTGTTGAATAAAAATATATTTAACAAGTCCCAGTCATCGACTGACACATACTGTATGTAACTATTTAGAACCGAAGGGTCATTATTAATCATGGATTGCTCTTTCGTTGGATTGTTCATTTTATTTATTACAATCATCTCAATGGAAGTTTATGAACACGTTAAATTAATATGTTTCATCATTTTAAAACTCTTTTATTCTTAACTATTTTTTATAGCTCAGAACCTCTACGTTTTCAATGGATTCAGGAAGATGAATTCAGTGGAACAAATCTTTCAGAATATACTTCAGATAGTTTAATCAAAAGTGATGATGTATTAAATCAACGTAAATCTTTATCAACAACAAGTATAATATCTTCATCAGATAATCAAACCGATAATGATGTACCATTATTATTTACTATTAATCCAACAACTGGTGTATTTGAAATGAATGAAATGAAACATTTTCAAATTTGTTTTAACCCAACTCAAGTAAGAAAGTATAAAACCATATAATAATATTTTAGAATTTACTTATTTGATATACCGAGAAAAGTATTTATTGGTAATGAACTTTACCACCATCATCATCAGTATGGTTCAACCATGTTTAGAGTAAAACAAATACCACCCGATGTCATTCGATGTTGGTTGGACTATATCGGGAAGTTAACTAAAGTTAGAAATAGGCAATAATTAATTTTGTCTGTGTGCCTTAATAGTGTAGAGTTTATAACAAGGCCTCAGGTTAATAGTGCTGATGAGTCTCAAACTGTGGTAGAATCATTTTTAGCATACTTGATATTTTTTAGCGATGGGCTCCAGAAGTCATGTTTTATCCTATTCAGGACTTGAAGCTGAACTTACCTAAATTAAATTGTTCGTGTTCACAACGAAACTCAATTCCATTATGTTACTCTTTAAACACTTATGATATTTCAACTGTGTTACTTTATTTAAAACTTTAGACTAAATAACAGTAATAGGACCGTTTTTGCAGGAATCACATGTGTCAACAGAGATTGATTAATCTCAGTTTTTAATATTAACAACGAGGAAATACTAATCCTTACAAATGAAATCTACACTCGTAGTACAAGTCAATGGTTATCTCGAATAAGTTGACTGGTTTAATATATGACCTTAGCCTAAAGTTAACTGTATTTCATAATCACTTTTACTGGAAATACTTAAATCTCTTTCAGAAATATGAATAGTTCACTCCACGGATTTATTTATTTTCTGAAATATATTTATGTCAATTGATGAGTTGTTTATTGATTTTATTAGTAAATCACTTGTCGTAACACTTTAAACACAATAAGTAATTGTTGTTTTCTGAACATTCCTATTACAATTATTGTAAAGAATGCTATTCTCAGGTTATTCTCCTTACTAAACATTTGCAACTACACTGGTTAACAAATACCATTCGTATACATATATATTATTTTATCTATACATATGAATAATCCATTTTGATTCTTTTACAGGTTGGAACATTTAGAACACAATTGGCAATAGTATTACTCGGTATACCAGAAGTAGATGAACAAGGAAATTGTTATAAATTAGACAAAAAACACTTAACAATTGAATTAGAAGGGACAGCAGAACCACTCTCAATATCAATTGAACCACCAATTTTGATTATTCCTGGAAAGTGTTTGCTTGATGTTCCTGTGTACCGTACTGTTCAGGTAAGCTTTAAGAATGGACATGAATTCTTTGTATTATGTGAGAATAAGATTTTATACGTACAGTATAATTATTCGACAACAAATGTAATACTTTGTTTGATCTAACATTTCCAATGTGTATCAAGTCTTATTGTTGATATTGACATTGAAAAACGTGAAAGAAATAGCTCTGATTAATCATATGCTTATTGCTTTGGTATTTGACACCTGCAAAACTGCTACTGAATTTCTGTAAAGATTTTTCACAAAAGATGTTTCACCTTTGAAGGTCAATACAAGTTACCACACCACATCATTACAGTGATATGAACTTATCAAGACAAACATCAGAGTATTATAAGTAATAAAAGCAATATAATTAAAGAGGAAAAAAATAGTTTATCAGATAAAATGGATGAGATGACGTTGAAACTTAAAACACAGAGAAAGGAAAACAATAGGTGTATTGACGCCATTGTGATGGAATTCGAGCTAGGTTACTAAATATTAACCATCGATTAAGATAATCACATGAACGCAAACCGTATTCTATACAACTACTGATGACATGTTTCTCTTCAATAGTCAGTGATTTCATGAACTGAGACCTTATCTTAGTTTTTTCATCAAATGACTTTCATCTATCCAACTTCTGCCGTATCAAACATAAGTAGTTGAGGTACGTGGGGGTTGAGCTCACATGTTTTATGTCTAAACCAACTTAATCGATGAAAATGTACTTCCACATCAACTGACTTGCCGTCTGTAACTAGTACCCTCCTTATCTCAGTGTTTAACACCTAATAGACCCAACACATTCTAGCATTACTTTGTAGGTATGTGTAACCGAATTTTAGTAGCCTGCTAATATTCTTTGTTTCCAAAAGCCACATTATATAGCCTTAAAGTAGAACAGAAAAAAATTACTGCATAATGTACTAGTTTTGTCGTTAGTAGAAGTCAGATGAGCTTTCGAAAACTATTTCATGATTTCTTGAGGAACAATTGAGATGCATATTTTGTTTTCATACATATTTGTAAAGTCAAGAATTATTCCTGGAAACCAAAAACAAACCTTCCAGGATTTCATGATATATCACAAGGTGAATATAGGTATGAATATTTCAATGGATTTATAAATGATTTTTCAGTTATTGGCTATAGTCTATCTAAATAACCTTTAGTATATAATTAGTTTGAAGGTCAAATAAACATGGGTAAATAGACTAGGAATGGTAATCACAAAACATTAAAATCATTACGTAATAAGATGTGTGTAAATAATTAGATAGTGAAGAATACAAAGAGGCGGAAAATCACAAACAAATAATGAATGTGGAAATAAGGTTAACGATAACACAAATATAATAAAATAAATAATGATAATGATAAAATTAAAAAAATTAAAAAAATTGTTAGTTAAGTTATAACTGGCCATGGAAGGGATAGGGGGGTCACGTATTTCTTCTGTACACATAAATTGGGGTTATATGTACGAATTCCAATGGCTTCAGCTATATATAAGAGACGGGAACGGACTCCGTCGGGAAATGATGGAGGTATACGATAGATAACTCGAAATGATTTCGATTTGTCTACTGCATGACCGCTACCAATAAGATGTGCCAATATAGAACTGCGAATAGATTTTCTCTGGCCCTTTATGTACCAAGTTGGTAGATGTTCACTCATTCGTTGGTTAAGTTGCCTGGTAGTACGCTTTATATAGCTATCTCCACAGGAGCAGCTGAATTTGTAAATGCACATAGAAGAGGCCAACTCAGGTAACTTATCCTTCGTTTAAGTAGACATCGCTGGTCGACAAGAGAAGGTCAACGCAAGATTGGCTGCGTAGAATGTCCTGGTGATTACTTTAGTTAATCTATATTTCAGAGTATCACTAGCCACATCCCCGTTGAATGGTACTTTCATGTATAAAGGTTTCTTACGAACAGTCGAGATCTCCGACTTCTTTATTATGTCATACATGTACTTCTTAATGAAAGCATTGGGGTAGCCGATCTCGGTCAGTGAGTTGTTGATAAATTCCAGCTCCTGACTTAGAGTATCTACTGTACAGATCTTTTTTTGCTCTGCTAGTGATACATCTGACAAAGTTTCTCTTGTAACGGATAGGTGTGAAACTGCAGAAGTGAATATATTGGCATGAAGACGGGTTTCTTCTATACACGCTTCTACTTAATGTGTCGTCACTTCGTCTGCTTAGTGTGACGTCAAGGAAGTTCAGCTTCTTATCATGCTCGCTTTCACCAGTGAAAGTGATCGCTGGGTGAACACTGTTGAATTGGTCTAGGAGTTCCTCTTTACTAGTGTTTTGATCTACGATGATGAAGGTGTCGTCAATGTATCGGAAATAAAAATCAAGTTTCTTAATAGTCTCATTGAGAGGTCCATTTTCATGTACATTAAAGTAAAGCTTGATGACGATCTAATTGAAAACAATTGTTCGCTTATATGTGATGTTCTAACCAATTCTTTAACAAGCAATTTATAGTAAATTTTGATTCAACTTTTTCATGTTATTATATTAAAGTTAGTGAATAAATCCTCCAATTGTTCTGTAACATATTCATGGCAACATAATTTTAACATTAAAAGAAATTCTATCAATTTAAGTGATTGTACTCAATCTACAAGAGAAATTCTTCAATCAAGTAGACAACAAAGTTCAAAAACGTTTAATCAAATAGAAAAATCAAATAATGCTTTAATTGTTTTAGAACCAACTATTGGTTCAATTGATCCTGGACAATCAATTAATATTGATATCATGATATCATCTTCAAAATCTATTATAATTAAAGAAAATATTCCATGTTTTATTAATATATTACCTAATAGTCCACTTTGGTTATATATTGAAGTTGAATTTTCGGTAAGTAACCTACTTTTCTTTAAATATAGTAATAAAGAATCATCTTAAATTAATACGTGTTGTTACAATCTTTTCTTATTACAACCCAGCTATTCTTAATACTTAGTAGTCTCGGACATCAAATCACCCAACAAGTCCTCAAATCAGAACACGGTTGAACAGGAAAGAGATTATATTCCAAATAACAAGGTTAGATGGAAGTAAGAAGCACAATAGGAAAAAACGTTAGTTTATTTATAGTTTTTTTACATGAGAAGATTCTAGTGTTCTCCAAGTATCGACTAGCGCTGATTGGATAACAGTTAATCAGTCAGCGTGCACCAAAGCAATCATGCATTGAGCATGCTTTAATCCAATCTATGTTTCGCTAACAGGTGATTAATTCCAAAATCAATGTAGTTTTAAGCATAAATTATTTAAAGTTTAAAACAATTGTAAGAAAGGGAGAACAAGTTAACTTTCTCTCTTGTTTTCTGGGCCTAAACAGAGTACATATATAACTCTAAAATTAACTAAGCATAAGAACCTAAGATATAATGGCTGAGTCAAATTTATAATGCTGAGCTAGGATTCAATCGTTTAGATTAAGGAGTTCTGCCAGTTTATGCGATTGTAAACTGATTAGGCTTAATGAAACAGTTTTAACATATTTTTTATACGTGATCTTTATTATTTATGGTGCCATGATTATATTTTGAGAATGTAACCTTCGTTCTGTTTTCAATCTCTATACTATTTTTCAACGTTGAACCCAGGTTTATAATATGGCGATATGATACAAAAGATAATTTTTTAGGGCTGGTAGCGTTTGATTCATGATGACTTATGACGGGGTTCTAGTGATCAAGCAACTCATTAACGTACGATATTACAAGATACAACTCAGAATAGAAACCAATAACAATCTTGTTGATTGTTTTCTGAACTGCATTGTATCATTTTATAGACAATATTCTTGTTCATTGATTTAATGACATTTCTTCTTTTTTTATCTTCCTTGTGTAGGTCGTTCTGTTTAGTACCCTCTTGTATCAAGCATTTTAAAGCAAACTCTTTAAAACCGTTCATTAAAAACAAGCAGAAAAGTGATAAACTAATAAAACTATAAGTAGACTTAACTAGTAATCGGATGAAGTTTATCAGTTATGTGTTATAATCAATTCGTTATGGCACGAGGAATGACCTTAAATGCATCAACAGGATGTTCACTCTAAAGGAATTAAAAGTTCCAGCCTAATGACTTTCACCCTTGTAATATATATGAAAAGTTTACTACCTCAACAATTTTTGAATTAGAATACTCCAGACAACCTAATATCATATATCTGTTCGCCACATTTAATACTACAATCTATATGAGGCTGATCACGCCTGTATACTGACATGAATTCTGTGATTAATATTTTCACTATATATATATGGTTTCATCTTGATCATATTAGTCATTTTTTATAATACCGAATTTGTTTACAAATATTTCTCATTATTTATTTTAGGGCCCTACCATTATTTTTGATAGAACAGACTGTAACTTTGGTCTTATGCGTCCGAATGAAACAGCTGAAATGAATATTCTACTAACGAATACTACCCCCTCTTCAAGAAAATGGTTTGTGAAAATGGAAACATTTATTGACAAGGTAAGAATTTAGTAAAATGATAGTTTGTCATTTATTTTGAGTTTAACAAAACATGTTGAAGTGTGGTTAAATGGTTAATAGAATAATACTTTATCAAACAACAGCTTATTTCTACTTGTGATAAAATATATTAAAAGTTGATAAGATATAGTTTTATTTGTTTGATATGACTGAAAAGAACAGGAGTTAGTGTTAGTAATAGAGACAACTCTTCTATGGATGATGTAAACCAATAGTTTCGGTAATCAAATGTAACCTAACGCTATAATACACCACTCCATATATAGTCGAGTTTATATGGTTGACTGGATGTAATTTTAAGATTTCATGCATTATATGTTGATCTAATATACTTCTCACAATAAGATAAAGGTTAAATGCTTTGCAATTCAATAAAGGTCTAGGTACTGTTAAGAAAGTCAAAATTGTACTGAGACGAAACGTGATCATAACCAGGTACTTTATTTCGGAAAAATTATGATCTAACAGACATTTCAGCAATTAATCTTAAGTTTTACTTAAAACACCATGTACCATATGGTTTGGTGTACATTTCATTTTTATACATGACTGAATTAGTCTGTATTAAAGATAAACTGCTAACATATAAATGGTAAATATGACCGTCTAACTGAACAATATGACTGTTTCGTAAATCTCAAGTTCGAATTTTATGTAATTACAGATTTTTATAAACTATTCACTAGTTCTTACTCATACTGCATGAAATTTATGATCTTGAGTAGTTGTTAGTTGATTGACTATTATCAATTAACAATTTGTTGCCAAGTTCATAAAATGACATTATTAGAATTACTCAATACAAGTAACATTAGTAAATAACCAATTAAGTTTTATTCATTGTATATATATGTGTTTCATTAATTGAATTGTACGTTTCATAGATTTAAATGAAACAATGAATTTGATTTACTTTAAAAAATATAAAAGAAACATCAAATTATTTACATTTTTGTTGGCTTTCAAATTTCACTGATTGAAATCATGAGTCAATTGAAGCTAGACCACTATGGTAAACCTGGAAGCACTATTATTTCTTTCACCTTATCTGACCCATATTTAATCTAATCATGATTCTTATAATTTCATTTAACGTATAAACTGATACAAGTTATCATTGCATATTAGTCAACGGCCTTTCTATTTTAATATGGAACTCCTCAGTAGTGCACATCGACGATCTCGAACGCGGGATGAAACAGTCGTCCAGTACTTTCAGGTTTTCACTGGTGGTCTAGTTTCAATTGACTCATGATTTCAATCAGTGAAATTTCTAAAATCTCCACAAAGCCCTTCTGATTTTCAAATTGTCATTAAAATATACACTAGAAGTTTAATGAGTTTAATTTTGGTCAAAATGAGGAATATATTTTCACTGTTTGAAAATCTCCATTATATCAGACTAATATATGGACAAAGAATATTCAATAAAGTCTCTTCAGGTTTTATAATTATCTATCCAAATTATGTCCAAGTTTAGGGGAAAGTGCACCATTTAAAGTTATGGCATTGAATTTGAGATTGTTAAATAAAATGAAGTTATTAGAATTGGGGATTTGTGCAGATTGAAGTATGCTTAAAGTTGAATTCATGAGTCGATCTAAGCTAGACCACCAATGAAAACCTGAAAGTACTGGCCGACCGTTTCATCCCGCGTGCGAGATCGTCGATGTGCACTACTGAGGAGTTCCATATTAGAATAGAAAGGCCGTCCAGTTCTTCCAGGTTTTCAATGGTGATCTATTTTAAATTGACACATGAATTCAACTTTAAACAATATAAAATTATTAGTGTTGAGATGACTAATATACAATGATAACTTGTATCAGCTTATACGTCAAATGAAATTATAAGATCCATGATTAGATTAAATATGGGTCAGATAAGGTGAAAGAAATAATAGTGCAATTATAAATTCAATTTAATTTTTCGTAAAATACTACATTGTATAAAAAAGTTTAGTTGAAATTAATGGGAAATTATAAAGTGGAATGAATGCTAAGTAAACGAATGATGTATTCATGTGATTAATAATGATATTAAACCAATGATAATAACGATAATAATAACAATATATGAATAAAGATAACAAAAAACCAATTATATTTGACTGTGAAAGGTTGTAAGTACAATAATCATTCAACAGCTAAGATTACTATTGATTAATTGGCTCTGATGTTGGCCAACGCAGGAGAAACTGTTAAAGGTATTTCTTCTGTACTCATAGCTCCTGTTTCTTAATTTGAATGGCTAATGGTTACGATTTTTGAAGGACTTTGAATTCGACAGGCTTTGATAAAATATTGCTGACCCGATAAATAATTAGAAAAGAATGGCTTATACTAGCACTATGACCAGTTTGCACTAAATAGAGTGCTTTCAAGCTGTTCACGCCATTTACTAGACATTTGCTTATCCACGCTGGGAAGTGTTCGGGAGCACGAAAGTGTAAATTCCTAGAACGTTGAACAACATAACTTACTCGACAACAGCAGTCGAATTGATAAACACAAAACTAGTTAGTCACTCTTGTTAATTCATCTTTTAATCTCGTTGTCACCATTGAGCTCATAGAAAACAATGATCATAGTTCTTCGGCGTTGAATGATTTTCTGATTGTTTGCTTCATCCCCTCTGAATTTCAGGCCCATGATTGGGATTTCTTGTTCACTGTATGTATTTCGTTTGTTATAACCTTAGTGATCATATATTTAATTATAAACTTTCTAGGGTAACTATTCTCCCTAAGAATATTACGCAAGGTGTTTAGCTCATCTTCAACTATATCCGTAGAACATGTAATGCGTATTCGGTAACTAAGAGTTTTGATCAGGTTTCACTTGTACCGTAGAGGTACACGACTTTGGAAATGTGTATGCTCAGTCCATGTATTATTTCTGTTTAAATTTCTTTTTATTGATTCATCAGCTCTCTTGGTTAAGAGAGTATATTTTCATAAAAAAAATCTTTTAAATATTAAAATATATTTACAGTTTGAATCTGACATAGAAGCACACCCATCTTATGGAGTCATACAACCCTTCCAATCAGTAAAAATGAATTTGTCTTTTACACCACAAGTAACAAGAAGTGTTCGTGATATTATTACTGTACATACTGAAGATTCTGAAGAAATAAGGTAGTCATTATTTTCAATAATATTTTACAATTTTTAACAAATTGGGGCTTCAATAATATCTATAATGACGTATATTAGGGTCTGTAAATGGGTAGATTCTTATTATGAGATGTTAAGAAACATAAAAGCGAACTTACCTAATCATAAGCCACTGTAACTAGCTACAGGAATGTTCACAAGTCGACAAATACACGTAGTGATGTTCTAGTCGAATAACATTACTTTTATTCAATAGATCTACAATCCGTTTTTTACCAGATGAATGGCTTAACTTGATTGTATTAAGTTTTCTTATTTAGACATCATGCTTCAATCTCATTAGATGTAGTCACCTTCAAACTGGTATTTCAAAAAGAGACAATTTGTTTTAAACTGTCAGTTCATGAATCGAAGATGGATAGTGGCTAGCAGTGAAATCCAGGACGCGCGTTTCGTCCTATTTGGGACTTGTTAGCTGGATGTACCTGCATTTTAGAGTTGGTGTTCATTCCGAGACTCGAAACCAGGACCGTTCGCTTTAAACACCATCACGTTATTCCCTGTACCGGGTTCGAGTACCGGGGTGAACATCAACTCTAAGTTGCAGGTACATCCAGCTGACGAGTCCCAAATAGAACGAAACGTGCGCCCTGGATTCCACTGCTAGCCACTACCCATCTTTGCTTAAAAAGCCTGTGACTTAAGGCTATATCGAGGCAACCCGCTTAGGATGCACATATGCCAACATGAAACTGATCAACTTCAGTTCTAAATAACAATCGGAAGTTACAAGTAAAACAACATCTAGTGAATTCGTTAGTTCTTTAGTTTTTATTTATATGCATTAAGTATTTATCATGGATCTGACAATATTTTAAAACTATTTTAATCAACGTTTCTTGTTCAGTTAAAACACATATAGCTACAACTATCATAAGCTCATGTTATTGTATTGAATTTATTGTCTTATTTTCTATTCCCATTCTGAATAATTGATCTAACTAATGTTAAATGCAAATAAATATTGAATTTTATTCAGGAATAGTGTGAGACTCTTTCATCTGTTCATCACATCGTTATTCAATTGTGTTATTGTATAGTGGCAATTCTACCAAAAATCGTATCTAAATAAAGCCACCTGACACCGAATCTCTGTACTACATAGTTTGTTGCTTATAGAAGTATCATTGATTATGAGTTGGAATTTTTGAGAATAAAATCTCTTTTAAAATGGTTTATCAAAAATAACATTGAATGTGATACATATTTTTATCAGTTGAAGTTGATAGAAGTCACATTAGCAAGAAAACAGTGAAACTGGATCAAATAAAATGTAGATGATGTTAACATAAATCGAAGTGAAATTCTAAATGTAAACAATTTAGTTCATAAAGAACAAATAACTCAAAGGAACTGATAAGGCAGAGTAATATAATGCTATTGATCCATAATATGGGAAACAGTGAATAAATTTGTTTGGATGTGGCCATCTTTAAGTCGTACCACATGTAAGCGAATAACATAAATAATTGATGGAATATCTTGGTTTAGTTACCTTCATCCTTTCACAATCTACTCAGCACAGATCGTAAGAGTAGTTGATAGCTGGTCTTGTGTTACATTCACCTTGCTCGATAAAGGCTTCCAACCTCTTTGATTATCTACTTATTATCAAACTTTGCGTGGAAATGAATTAATGCTTTCGGAAAAAGACTGGTTTTCACAGAACCAGTGTATTAGGAATAGGCAAGTATACAAAATGCACATTTCACTTAGTTCAAAGGCGACTTGATTGACAGAATTTTATTATCAATAGGGACGAACAAAACTGACAATGATCAATGCTTAATGACTGGTCGTTTTTAACTATTTCAATTCTACATGAGGAAAATCGCAGTCCAAATAGTCCAGTGTTATTGTCTCAGAATATGAGGATAGATGACTTCATTTCAAATCCCACCGGGGGAATCATTTCGCTCGAGACTCTAAGTATGCAATGCTAACGAGTTCAGTATTTCCTTCCAAATACGTAAAACACATCCAACAAAGAAGTAATAAGTTTACGATGATCTGTGAATGAATGGTTATACTTACAGTTCTATGTATTAAAAATATAGAAATATGTTTGTTAAACGATTCCCCTTTTTTGTTTAGCAAACTTTTAATTATAGCAGAAGTTCAAACTCCACTGATTGATTTCCATCCACTTCATATTGATTTTAATCAATGTTTTTGGAATGTTCCTGTCACTGAAACAGTAACAATCACGAATTTAAATATGTTGGATTGTGATTTAGAATGGATTGAAGTAAGTAGTCTGCATTGGAAATAATATCTGTGTGTAAAATAATTAAATTTTATTTGTGAAATGCATATTTTTAATGATGATAATAATCCCTTAATTAAATGCTATATATTTGGTTACAGTAAGAGGAGTCTCTGAATAAAATATGACATATGACAACAAAGTTATGTTCAGTGAAATTTAGTGACCCTCCATTTGACTCCAGTTAGATTGTATGATTATATTATTGAAATATACATCCCAGCTACCGGTGTATATAATTATCGACTTAAATTGCGTTAGTGAGTAACGGAATTAAATAAGTAACATATGGGAATGAAGTTTGGATACGTATTTTTCGTACACTTATTGATCTGAAGAGACAATCAAGAAACCAAATACAAAAAGTGAAGAAAATGAACTAGAGAAAGCAAAACGAAACATAATGACGCGCAGTGAAAGAGGCGAGTAAGTCGGCTCGGTTAAATCAGGTGTGATTCAATATTGATATTCAGACAAAAATAAATTACAAACACGTAATGAATAGGGCAAGCAATTAACATACATATACATATAAAAACCGTTGTAGTGAACAAGGATACGAGTGAGGGACAATCGAATGTATCTAACACGAAATTACAGGACTTGTTAATAAAATCTAATAATCATAAGGTGAATGCTTAATTTGCAAAATGTCCAACGATTGTCTCAACATTACTCAGATTTCATTGTTCTTCCATTTTCATACAAATTGCATACTGTTTCCATTCTTTACTATTCGATCCTCTTGTCTCTCTACTGCCAGACCTTCTGTTCACGACTAACATCATACACTGCTTGTGTGAATATAAGTAGCACACACCACACCGTCGGGGTTAATAAGCGAATAAGTAAAAAGGTCAAAATGTGACTTGAGAAGAATGAATAACCTAGTCTGTTCAGAAGCTTGCATAGACTATGTCAGTTTGACATAGTACCAGTCACTACAAGACATTTTCTCTGTAGAGATGCAAATTTATGAGGAAAAACTAGAAGATAGTAGTCAGGAAAGTGGTTAGTCGATAACTATCAGATATTCACAGCTAGATTTAATGACAATATTCAAAGTCCTATAAAACACAGAAGTCTTATCTCCAGATATCAGATAACAGAACCATAGAACAATGATAAAGGGTAGGTTGAAAAACTGAAAAGAAAACCCTATAAATCGCCATCACTATCGTGATGTTTGGTAATGGTAGAGCAGGCAACTTAAAAAAAAATATTTTACCTGCACAATGTTCATTTGTATACTGGCTAACTTAACAATACGTTGGTAAATTATAAAAATCGCCTCTTGAGGATGGAACATTTACTCGAATGAAAAATCTGTCGGGGTCAATTTAATTACATTGTGTATACTCACTTTTTTGTGCATTGATTTTACTTAACAATTTCGGAATACACTTTTCTTTTCGGTTTTATCATTCTTATTCTGTTGATAATATTGTATCAAGACTGTATCAGAAATGTTCTATTTATCATAATTCTTTTTATATATTTAAATTACTTTTAATAGCCTATTGGAAATGATAAAGAATGGGTTACAATTAATGTGATCCCAAAAACTTATCGAATCATAGGTCAACAAAGTCAATTATTTGAAATTTCTTTATGTGCTCATAAACAGGTAATTTGAAATAATCATCATTTTATAATAAATTGATAAATGTGTTATTAATCATTTTGTTTTATTGTGTTATTTTGTAAATTTTTGACTAGTTACATATTATTGTATTCATATTGAAAATCGGTTTGAACTATTTCTATATATTCAAAGTTATAGTAAAATTCAGTCAGTCAGTCAGTAATAACGTAGAACTTCGTACGTACGCACGTCAGCTCAAGTTGCCATAATACATTAGCACAGAGATGCAGTTGTCGATTCGAATCCCGTATTGGTAGAAATAGTAAAAGTATAAGCAGTAATCAGAGACAAAAGGGTCTCTAACAATCGGTTGCTATCATATCGCCATTCCCAACCAGGTAGTTTAGACCTACCAAGATGTCTCAGTCTACTGATCAGTGACTTCATGGATTTGTGCCATACTTTAGCCTGACCGCCCCTAGCTTTATTCAAACCTACTCCTACACCATGAAACATCTTACTTCGGGGCAGTCAGTGGTTGAAAATACGTAACACGTGTCCCAATGTTTCAGAAACACCTATCATCGAATAGTAGTAACAAGTCATGAAGTAGGACAGAAGGGACTGCTGCGCAGTAAACCCGTCCTTTAGTTGATAAATAGATATATTGTCTACGCCATAAATGACGCAAGTTGGCAAAATCTAGTCGAGCATTCTGTATCCATGCTGAGATAATAAAACTGTCAATAGTTTATATTAAAAATGATTCCCTTCAAACTTTTACTTTACGTGTAATTGTCTATTAACATTTTTTTGCTGTATACTCTTTTATTGCAGAAATCAGTTGAAGATCTTCGAATCCCATTACGTGTAAATGGATTGAATGAATTTTTATATTTACCAATTACAGCTAAAGTCCAAGGATTGTCAATAAACTATTTTCCGTTTAATCAAGATAAGTATGTCATATTCAATTTTAAATACTGTGACCATTTCTTTATCTAAACATATAAACATTAGTGCATTGGGTGACTAAAATATACATCTGCCACACAATTTTTTTTGCGTCCGCTGGAATATTGTCCGAGATGCCCACACCGAAGTAGGTTCGATTTCTTCGGGAGGGATTTTTTCCTTGAAATCTTTGAGATCCTATACGCCATTGGTTTGGAACTAGGGTTTTCTAATTCCACCAGATGGATCCTCTGTACCCACCGACCCGGTTTAAGTGCCGGATATTCGCCCAAATAAATTTTGATCTAGTGGTAAATGTAAAGTTATTCTAAGTTTCATTTGCTTTAAAAGTATTCAGCAGATAACGAATTCCATCGGCTGCATTTACCGTTATCTAATTTACTTTATTCTTTCGTTAAATAGTTAAATGGAAACAATTTCGAAATTAAATTTATTTCAAAATAAAATCCCAATCTTTTGTAAAATTGCTTATCTTTATGAATATGCACTCACAAATTTAGCAATGAATACATGACTGTAATAAATTCGAAGTTACTATGCAGAAATCAAACTTCGAATATTTTTGTATTTTATTGTGTAATTGTAGAGATTCAATATGCAAAGAAAGTTCTCATGAAAATATCAATATTCCAAACAATAATTTAAATGAAACAACGATTTTAGACTTTGGACAAAATATTGGTCTTTTTGAACCAGTTGAAAAATGGATTGAATTTAGGAATAATACACCAATACCAACACGAATATGCGTAGATACTGGGAGATTATCTACAAAAACTAATTATGCTGATTATGAGAATTTTCCTCATAAACCTAAACTTGGCGCTGTGAAATATTTATTCGTAACATCAAGACAATCTACTGAAAATTATTTAAGTAGTCAAAATGTTTTACACGACATGAATGATCATAAAACTCAAATTAGGATTCTTTACGGTATGTTTAATGATGAATCAATACGTATTACTACAATCTCCACAAACTCCCACTCTGATAATAATCATGCGCTCATTATTTACTAGCTTCAAGACAGATCTCCTAGAGTTCTAAAGAGAAGCTGTGACCAGTGGAGTTCAATCCGTGTCGGATATGAGACGGTTATCCACCTCAGACAATGGATGAAGGGTTGCAGAAGATCATGGGTCGATTGAAGTTAGACATCAACACCGTTGGATACCAGCTCAGTGGTCTAGAGGACAAGCGTTCGCGCGTAAGGCCGAAGTTCTTGGATTAAAGTTTCTTTGGTGCGCGATCGTTGATGCGCACTGCTGAGGAGTCCCATACTAGGACGAAACGGCCATCCATTGCTTCCAGGTTTTCAATGGTAATCTAGCTTAGATCGAATCATGGGCTCAACTGTTAAAACTACTGTAATCTACACAGATACCCTTACTAACATTACGTATATGTTTAATGTTTTTCTGTTAATTGAATGGTTGAGTAGGAAAGTGATAGTTTTTTTGGAAAACATCATCAGTGTTTATTTCATGCAAAAGACGTAAATTTGTTTCCGTTAAATGTACTTGAAAGTATTGATGCTTGTATGTTCCTTTGTGCAAGTTGAGATCCTTCGGAAGTGTTTATTTTACAACAAACATCAGAGCTGTACTTCACTAGAGCTTTGCTGATTAGCTGTCTTTTAATAATGCTTACTTTATTTCAATTGAATATTTGCGTTATATCTGTTCTTCTTTACCACATCATCACAAAAAACACCAGATATATGTAAACAATTAGAGAACAAGGGTTAAAAGCAACCATTCATAATCAAGGTCACATATATGTGAAGTTGAATAACTCACTTCTATCTAAAGCTTTCCCCATTGGCATTGTTTAGAAAAACAGAGAAAGCTTGCCTTTTCAAACACCCAGCTCGAAGGATGAAATTCCATCAAGAACATGGTGGAAATATTTTGGAGTTACATGTTCCACTGAAATTATCATATTAAACTTCATCGTTCATTTATTCTCCGTTTTTCAGATTGGTGTAATTTATTATTGAAACAGTCGAAAGGTGCATGTGTACTAGCACATTCAGCTATATCATCCACCAATTATACAACAGATTTTCAATTAGCCGAGCTTAAACCAATTAATATTAGTCAGTATACAACTACGCTACCAACTATTCCATCATGGTATTTACCAGGTTATGGTTCACTAAGGATTTGTTTCATATGTGTAGCCAATCTATGGGGAGTTTATGAAGATAATATTCATATTTATGTATTGCCAGAATTTGATCTTACATCTGAATCCTATCTATCACCTGTTGTATTTTGTACAACTTTCAAAATAGTTGGATGTCCAATTTATTCATTAGCCGCAGGTCATTTCGGTGAATTATCGAATAAAGCAATACTGAATACTAATGTAAAGAATAATTCAATATTTCCTAAAACTGCTTTACCAGTTAAAGCTACAAGACAATTTATACGATTCGGTAGTGCATTGTTTAATGGACCAGTTGTTAAACGCCAAATACGTTTACATAACTCATGTGAAGCTGGTGAGTGTATGTGTATACTTAAAGATAATTTGATCACAAAATTATCAAAATTATGATTATTGTTAGTAATTTATTCATCAATTAAAGAGTTACTAATCCAAAAGTTACCATCAATTCAGTTACATTGGAAATGAGCGAAAGGTTTCGTTTGTTGAAGCGTAACATAATATACTGATTATTTTTTACCTCAATGAAGTTTCTTTTCCCGCCGTACATTTTATAATTACTCTCTTGTTAGCCAGTAGATTTAAACTTATTAAAATAAGCAGCTTCATTTTAATCGTCATAGTATCAATTTAATTACTAATATTCTATCGTAAAATTACAGCTTAAGTTTTACATAATCGAATGACGATAGTTAGACAACTATTTAGAACCAGAAATAGTCTTTTGGTTATTTTGAAATAATTTGAAACTGCTCAAATTGTCACGGATATATCGTCCTTATATTCTTTTGCTCTATACCATACATTAGATGCAATTAAAATAACTAAATATTCCGACCAGAGAAAAACACTATTATATTGAACGTATTTGTAAACTCATTATGATATATCCATACATTGTTTGTAGTAAAAAACGATATTTTCTGTTATTTATAAGACCAAAAGTAGTGTTTTTAGAAGACTGATTTATGTTGTGTCAACCAAGTGGTTAGTCACTGTCTTTCCCTTTCATTATCATTGAGTGTTCGAAATTACATTGGCCAAAACTGATGATTCCATATTTTGCCTTTGTAATCAAATGCTGAACTTGATTCTTTCCTATTACTAACGGTCTGTGACTCAATAGTTTAACGATAGCGTCTCTAACTGTTTAACGGAATGATCCTACCTCGAATATCTAAATAACCGTAACACTCATAATGACTTCACATTTATCTTTCTTCTAACTGCTAATAATCAAATAACTGAGGTTAAGCATGACATTCACTAAAATACCTTTAACAATTTAAAATCACTGAATTATGCTCTCAATTAATCTCTCTTTAATTTAAACTATATTTTCTTATTCTCATAACGATTATTTGACCGCTGAGAAAATGTATTATTAAGAATTACGTAACATAAAAAATTCGACTGTTTGTACCTAGCCTTACTCCAAGCATCAATGTAAACTTATATAATTCTGATAAAGCCATTGTAGGATCAGTGAAATTTCACTGAGCCCTAGCCAAATCATTCGGCACTTTGGTCATGGAATATTGAGCAGATCATCGATCCCTGTTATGGTCAAGGACAATCAACGCACATCAGTTAATCGTATGCCATAAACTGGCCCATGCAGTGGTGGTCCCACTATCTTCTTTGTACTCATTCTTACTAATATATTTCCGTAATAGCGTCCTTTGTATTCTACAGTCTTCAAAGCATCCATAGTACTTTGATACGACGAAGGGGTAATCCATGTTAGGTGCTGATCGCGAGGTGTGATATAGACGTTAGTTGTTGATCACACCACTTCCATCTAAATGAAGTAGGCCCAAAGTCATTCGACAGAGATCAACGTTAATGAGATGAGTTTTCAAAAATAAAAATTACAGTAGTTATTAATCCCTAGACTTAGATTACGAGCTCTAACATGAGAACGTTAAAGACATTGTAACACCAATTTTATAGTGTTTAACACCTAAAAACGTAGCTTATCATCATATATATATGAACTATCACCAATATAAGACCATTAGAATTCATTAATTGTTTAATATTTAACCTTAATTTAACTGTTTTCATTTATTTATTGATTGACACATCTTAGCTATTCGAATTGATTGGCAAGTGTTTTTGGATTCAGAAATAGAAGATCATAATCAATTGATAAATCTTTTATGTTTCATATCAGAACCGTTTAAAAACGTTTCATATAATCATCAATTGAATAAGGAAAAATCATTGACTGATGAATATTTAATACTGAATGAACGTAAGTAAATAATATAATGAATTTGACTTGAATAGATGATGATTATTGGTCTAGATCAAGTTAAGGTAGTAACAGCAAAATAAAATTGTTTGAAGTTTGATAAATAATCGATATGTTTCGTTCAATATGAAAACGAAATTATTAAACCTTAGAAACAATAAACTATAGCTATAGAATCATTAAATTGTTTCAAAGTAGAATTAATGAATTCTATGCATCCAAAAATCTTCCAGTTAGGCTAGAACTCAACACGATCGAAACTTCAGATAATCATGGTAAAATCAACTTACTAATAGGTCCTGGGTTCGAGTCTCACGGGGTGCGGGATCGTGAATGCGCACTGTTGAGGAGTCCCATACTAGGACGAAACGGCCGTCCAGTGTTTCAAGGTTTTCCATAGTGGTCTAGCTTCAACTGACTCATGATTTCAACCAGTGAAACTTCTAAAATCTTCACAAAACACCTGATATATAATAATAATACAAAAATTCATTGAAGCATAAATATTTATTTGATGAAATTCATTGTAAAATATTATAGATCAAGAATCTTCATAGTAAAATCATAATACATTGTTATTACTTTTATTGATCATGCCATTTGGTTTTTGTCTAGTTTATGAGAACTTTATTTGAAACAATCTCAGCAATTGTAATTCACATTGTATATTTTTCACATGATCCAAATATTGTCCAATTCAGTAAAGTCAACATTTGAATGTGATGGGAAAATATTGAATTTAGATTTGATTTGATTGTTAAATGTCATAAATTCATTGATAAATTTGATTGAGGTTATTTACTCTGTAAAAGTCCGGGTACATTTGTAAGATGAAATGTTGAAATGATTTGAGTATCAATCACTGAGATTATTTCAAACGTACTTTCATGAATAATTATTTACTTATTTACTTGCGCTTGTTAATCCCGATGGAACATAGGACATCCATTAGCGTTCTTCAACCTATTGCGTACTGGGCATTCTTTTCTAGTTCTATCCAATTCTTGTTCATTCTTCTCATGTCTGTCGCCATTCCTTGACATAATGTATTCTTTGGTCTTCCTTCTCTCCTTTGACCTTGAAAATTGCAAGTGAGTAATTGCCCTGTGACACAGTTGGTTGCTTTCCCCAATATGTGTCCTATCCGATTCCAGTGATTCTTCCTGATTTCTTCCTCCGCTCGAATCTGGTTTCCTCTCTCCCACAGTAGGTGATTGCTTATAGTGTTTGCGTAGAGAATTGTTAATAAACACTTGTATCTTCTGGATGATGGTTTTCGAAGTTCTCTAGGTTTCTGCTCCATACAGTAGAACTATCTTGACATTTGTATTGAAAATTATGACTTTGGTGTTAGTTGACAATTGTTTTGAGTTCCAGATGTCCTTCAGTTGTAGAAAGGCTGCTCCTGCTTTACAGATCCGTACCTTCATATCTGCATCAGATCCAAAGTGTTCATCAATGATGCTGCCCAGATATGTAAAGCTTTTTACATCTTTCAAAGCGTCTCCGTCAAGTGTGATTCCATTGTTGCATGTTGTGTTGTATCGAAGAATCCTGCTTTTCCCTTTGTGTATATTGAGACCTACTGCTTCTGAGGCTGCTGCTACACCCGTCAACTTTTCCTGCATTTGTTGTTACGTGTGCGATAGAAGAGCCAGATCATCTGGGAAATCTAGATCGTCCAACTGCATCCTAGCTGTCCGTTGTATCCCATGCTTCCCCCCACCCAGATGTTGACGTCTTCGTGATCCAGTCAGTCACCAGGAGAAAGAGGAAGGGTGAGAGTAAGCAACCTTTCCTGACACTGGTCTTTACTTCGAACGAGTCTGTCAGCTGTCCTCTATGCACGATTTCGCACTTTAATCCATTATAGAAGTTTCGTATGATATTGACTATCTCCTCAGGTAGGCCGCCGTGTCGAAGAAGACACCATAGCATTGCCCCGTCCGCACTATCAATTGCTTTCTCGTAGTCAATGAAGTTGATGTAGAATGATGAATTCCATTTAATTGATTGTTCCACAATGATCCGTAGAGTTGCGATTTGGTTTGTACATGATCTATCTTTACGGAATCCTGCCTGTTGGTCTCGAAGTTGGATGTCTACAGAGTTCTTCATTCCGTTTAACTACACTCTATTGGAAACGTTTCCTGGTATTGAGAGAAGAGTGATGCCCCTGTAGTTCTCACACTAGCTGAGATCGTCTTTCTTTGGTATCTTGATGAGGTGTCCTTCTTTCCACTCGGTTTGTACTTGGTGTTCATCCGAAATATTGCTGAAGAGAATGTGGAGTATCATAGCAGTTACTACTACTTCTGCTTTCAGTACTTCTGCTGGAATGTTGTCTGGTCCCGTTGCTTTGCCGCTCTGATGACCATTTCTCGAATACTGTCTTTTATGTATTTGTAGCTCAATTCTGTTGAAAAAACGTGTTCAAATACTAGTTAATATTCGTACAAATTAATTGATCAGGGTTTACCATGCTATACACTATTATTTATTGGGTTATTTTTTTCGAATTTTATTTCAAGGTCATTGAAAACCTAAATTATTGTAAGAAACGTATTTTCTAGTTCTTTCACAAATCTAATTGTCAGACTTTTATTTGTTGCCAACTTAATCAACACCCCTATGAAATTCTATACGATAATTATAAAAGGTGTATGAAGTCTCTTGATAATTTTGTATATTTTTTCTAGTTTATGAAGTCCGTGCATTTATAAACAATAAATACTGTATAGTCGTAAACGCTAAGGCTCTCACCGATTATATTATGATACTGGCACTAACCATGAGCTTTCAGAATGTTTCTCTTTTCTACTTCCAAAAAAACTATGCTAAGCTTCTTGAAATGTTGAATCGTAACCGGTTTTTTGTTTTTACTTTTCCTGACGATTTTTAATCAGTATAATAAGCCATTCATAATTACATAGATTGTTATATGACATTGAACTTATAAATTTGATTGTCAGGCTCGTTTTAATATTCGCAATAACAATTTCAGTCAAATTATCATCACATTTCTGTTTATGAATTTGATAAATTAACTTTTTAAATGTTTGACTCTTTTATTAGTCTCTTTTTATATTAATTACTCTTAACTAAATCATGATTTCGTAATTGACATTGATTTTTCTATGAATTGAAATACATGTGATTTCTTATATGTGATACAAACACTTTGATTAAATGATCAGCCATTATTTTTTTTTCACAATAATCATGATTTAAGCCAATTAAACAAAAAAAAGAAGAATAATATGCCAAGAATTATTATTCTTGGCAAGTGTAACATTTATGTTAAACTAATATTGAATGAAGAGGTATTTATAAAAACTAATGAGTGTTAAACAAGATGTTCTGTGGTAGTTTTGTATTTCTCAGCAATGTGTATCAATAATCATTCACAGAATTCAAGTTTACAACGTTCAATTTCCATCAAGTTTACATGAAATGGATAGACTAATAAATTATTTATAATCTAATGAAAGCTTTTTACTCATGATCTCAATCACAAACTTAATAATCTCCACAACCCCTATACTAGTAATCAACATGTGCTCACTAGTGACTAGCTTCGTGAGTGAATTCTCGAAGTTCTAGTGAGAAGCCGTGACCAGTGGAGCTAATCCATGTTGAGTAGAGACAGGTACCTACCTCAGTACAACGGAAGTTGGTCGCGCAATTTCGTGGATTAGTTGATGTTAGACACTATCACCAATGGATGTCGGCTCAGTGGTACAGTTGGTTAAGCGTTCGCGCGCGAGACCGAAGGCCCTGGGTTCAAATCCCGTATGCGGGATCGTAGATGCGCACTGCTAAGGAGTCCCACAATAGGACTAAACGGCCGTCCAGTTCTTCCAGGTTTCCTAAGGTGGTTTAACATCAATCGGTTCATGATTTCAATCAAAAATTTAATAATCTCCAGAACCTCTATACTAGTATTAGTGTTTAAATCAGAGATTATGACTAACTGTCACTAGAATTATCAGCCTCGAAAAACGATTTCTTATTTCTCTGTTTTAGTTTATTTTATCATGAACATGCTTTTAAAGGTGAAACCTTTTATTTGACTTATTCCCATGCCTAGTTTAATAATAGAGGATAATGTTGTTGAGTATGTTGACCATTTTATTTACACTGAAAGTTTGATTAACCCGGTTAGTTCGATGAATACTGAAATTTTTAAATGGAGTGGAAAATCTCATGCTATTTTACTATTGTTTTGTTATTTGTATCTCCAGTAAAACGTTCACACATTCCCTGACGCAAAAAACCCAGTTTACTATGATTTGTAAATATAGAATTCAAAATTATAAAACATGCGTAAATCATTAGTGTTTAGTAACAGTTACTTTCATGACATAATTCATGAATGACAAACCTACTAGATGAGTAATGATTTGCCTAGGTGTAGAATACACGGTAAAGATGCTTGATCAGCTGATTATATAATAAATTCTCATAGACTAAGGTGACTGGGAAATGATTATCATTTTGTATGTGACCAACTGGTTGAGTACTAGTATAGGGGGTTGTGGAGATTATTAAGTTTTTGATTGAGATCATGAACCGATTGATGTTAGACCACCTTTGGAAATTTGGAAGCACTGGACGGCCGTTTTGTCCCATTTCTGGACTCCTCAGAAGTGTGCATCCACGATCTCGCTCGCGAGATTCGAACCCAAAGCCTTCAGTCTCGCACGCGAACGCTTAACCTACTGGACCACTGAGCCGGCATCCAATGGTGTTAAGGTTTCCAGGTTTCCAGTGGTGGTCTAACATCAATCGGTTCATCAAAAATTAGTTGATTATTTCGTCAGATTGATAGAAACTAGACAAATAATCCATTTTTAAATACAACTACAATGGTTGCACATTAAATATTTGGTCTACAAAATGCTCAAAATAAAATTGACAATTTTTATATGTTAAAGAATTTAAACTAGAAAATTTTGTTTAGCCATTAACTAGATAAAAAAGTTTACCAATTCAATGTT